TTGACAATAAATCATTACACAAATATAATTCTGTATTTATATTTATCATGATGTGTTTCTTAAGAGTATGTGCCATTTTTAAGCTTTCATGTTAGCTACAAATGACTGGTCACTTAGTAGTTACCAAAATCATGTTTGTTTAGTCTAATGATGCTAACTGATTTTTGTCAATTAAGTTTCGACATAACCACCAGATTTATTGACTATACATAATGTGCACTGTACTGTGATGTTATGTGGTTGATAGTAGCCAATAAAAATACCCGGAGACTTATATAACATTCCTTCAATTTTGATGGAAATGTGGTTAGAACCCATATCACTGAGATTCATAGTTTGAGAAATCACTACTACTAATCTATTTCGGTCGCGACTGATTTGATATACGATTCAAATACTTACAATCGATTAATCACTATGTTATGACCAATGTTGTTCCTAGGAGTTCCGAGGAGCACAACACCTAGAATAATGGTTTTCGGCTAGACATCTTCGACCGAATCATACTTTCATCAATATTTATTTGATCTTGTTAGTGCTCTCTTTATGTAGCTCCTTTCAAGATTTGAATGTCTTTATTTTAATCACGATGCTCATAAGCAGAAATAATAGTTGCTCTTCTGTGTTTGATGATACTAACTATCAGTTTTTGCATTTGGTACCTTCGAAGTAGATTCAATCATCAGGTACTCAAGATACATTGCGTTGAGTTGAAATGAAATCTGCTATGGTATACTCAAACGAAAATAAATGAAAATACACAAAATGCTTATTAATATTAACGCGACGTATGTTATTCTGTTCACACTTTTGCTCTCTCTCTTCAAAAACACGAAAGTGTAGCACATGCTCTTCTGTGATATTTGCATGCAAAAGTCGATTTAGGTCTGATCACTTAATTTCCCTTTACCATCATTATTTCGCTGATTTTGTTATGTTGAGCAGTTGTAATAATTCGCGCTTCTTGTGCACGAGTCTAAACAGCTACTTCATTGAGAAAACCAAGTATGAGTAGGAAACGTCTATCGGCTAAATGTTAAACAAATATATGTAGATAAAGACATTCATTAATCTGGGTATATGTTCCTCAGAAACTCAAGTCAAATTTTCAACCATCAGGGTGTGTTTATTTCTAGAAAAATAAAGCTAAGCCCAGACTAATAGCTTGCGCACAGCAGCATCTCTAACTTATCATGTTTCCTTTAATTGATATGTATGACTGTTCTGGTTTATGATCTTTCCTTCTTAAAAATAAGTTTTTATTTTTAGAGTAAAATGGAAGAAGGACACAACAATCACTGATTTTGAGAAATATGAAGTATCCGAGGGGCTCATTGGCTCTAGTCGTTGACATCTTCTAGCTCTCCTTTTCTTTTGATCTGAATATCTGAAAGCTAAGAGTAGTTGGCAGTAATTGAATAACGGTATTCGCTAAATCATATCATCATCATATGAAAGAGATATTTGACCACGAATAAAATTAAACGAGTGATCGAACATTTCAAATTCTCTGAGCCAATCTAATTCTAATAAGTTGAACGATTTCTCATTGATATATTAATTTGAACATCAGACAGTACAGCTACTTGGCGAATCAAGTTTATGTCAAGTTTTCCGAGGAATCGAAGTAACATTCGATGTAGGTTCCAATCAAAATATAATAATTTGATCATTAACAATAAAATGAAATACTGATATACATAACAAGGTAACATTAGATTTGGATACTGTTGTCAGCACTTTCATAAAAACCATCCCTTTCTACTGTTTTCTAAACAATGAAGAATAAAATTCTTTTCGAGTTATACTGGCTTAATTTGATTTATGACCAATACAACAATGTTTGTTTCTTTAAACAAAAATTATTTCACACTTCATCTTTTAAGTTTTTTTTTATTACATTTTGTGTTAAAAATTTGTTTAACCTTTTTTTAAAGTTTTTCTGTAATCGGGTGAAGTTTAAAATCAATTAAATTTGTTTGTTTGAATCTTCCAATCACACAAGCATGTGGCTATCAGGACTCAGTAGCTGAGTGGAAGCTGAGCGTTTGAAGCGAGGGTACTGGGGTTTGACTCCCAGATTGAACATCAACTAATTCGGAGATTCAGGTACATCAATCTAACAAGTCCCAAATAGGTCGAGACGCGCGTCTTGGATTCCACTGCTAGCCACTATCCATCTCTCTTTACCAATCTTTGTTCTTGTCCTCTTCTTTTCGATTTTCTCAACTTTCGGTAGCAAGACATTTCACTTTGGATTGATGATACATACTACTGATAACTGTCGACATCAGTAACACACACACAAACACCATATTTTGAGTAATATAAAGCGTAAGATAATCATAATTTTCTTTAAGGGTGTTCAAATTTAAAAATTTATTGTTATTCTATTGTTTGGTATTTGTTAAAAAATCAATTCCTATTTGGATTTCTAGATAGAAAGGAAGAAATTTTACTCAAACTGACAACAAAAAAGTGACAGAAAAAAATAGTTTTAATGAATTTTCAATCTATAATTGACTATTTATGCCTTAATGCTTAGACACAAAAAATTTTTTTCGAGAGACTCTTTCTATGAAAAAGAGAACTATTGATCAATATTGTAAGGAGAAATAAATAGTGGCTAGCAGTGGAATCCAGGACACGTGTCCCTTCGTCCTATTTGGGACTCGTTCTAAACATCAATGGGAAGATTCAAACAAACAATACCATATGTATTGAACAATATGTTCACATAAGACGTATTGCCTTAGTTTTCCCTACAAGGTTATTCCTATTTTTAATCACTTCAGTTACAGACTTTACTGATCGATTTAAACTTTCCCTGGGTGTTTTATTTTTAAAAAGATTTCCTGAAAATGTAAGATGGTAATTTTGAAAAAAATCCAAGAAAATGATTAAATATAAAGGAAGTGCTTCCATTACATACAAAGAGGAAGTTAAGAAATGAAAGATAGAGATAAGCGAACAAATTACAATTGTAAACCTATGAATTGTATGGAAAGAGGATGTCTAATGTACATTATTATTATCATTATTTAATTTGAATTGTTATCTCAATACACACCAATTTGCAATTATAACTACATATATAGAGTTGAGATCATGAGTCAACCTAAGCTAGACCACCATGGAAAACCTGGAAGCACTGGACGGCCGTTTCGTCCTATTATGGGACTCCTCAGCAGCGCGCATCCACGAACCCACTCTCGCGGGATTCGAACCCAGGACCTAACAGTTTCGAGCCGAAGCCCTTAACCGATAGACCACTGAGCTGGCATCCAACGGTGTTAATGTCTAACTTCAACTGATTCATGAAATTGAGCAACCATTCACCAATATCATCAGTGAGTTCCTATCTCACAACAGACCTGGTTGAACTCCACCGGTTACTGCTTCTCACTAGAACTCCAGGAAATGCCTCAAGTAGTCAGTCACTAGTGAGCACCTGATTATTATCAGAAGGGGTTTTGTGGAGATTTTAGCAATTTATAGAGTTGACTGACTCCTTGAGGTATTTCCTGGAGTTCTAATGAGAAGCAGTAACCGGTGGAGTTCAACCAGGTCTGTTGTGAGATAGGAACTCACTGAAGACAATTGGTGAATGGTTGCTCAACTTGGTGGATCAGTTGAAGTTAGACATTAACACCGTTGGATGCCAGCTCAGTGGTCTATCGGTTAAGGGCTTCGGCTCGAAACTGTTAGGTCCTGGGTTCGAATCCCGCGAGAGTGGGTTCGTGGATGCGCGCTGCTGAGGAGTCCCATAATAGGACGAAACGGCCGTCCAGTGCTTCCAGGTTTTCCATGGTGGTCTAGCTTAGGTTGACTCATGATCTCAACTCTATAAATTACTAAAATCTCCACAAAACCCCTTCTAATATAACTACATATCCCAATAGTAAATGTCATTCAGAGTTAATTTTGTTAAGTAGCCGATAAGAAATCTTATGTTAATTTATATTTCATACTTGCTGATAATTTTCAGTAAACCTTACCTATGAGATTTGAACTTACATCTTCTAGCTTCATAGTTTGTGACTGTATCACAAGACTATTTATATTTTGGTTAAGCAGTTGTAAGAATCAGTTAGTTATGATTGTTTGATCAGGATCAGTTTATAGCGTCTTCGATGTTATAAAACCGGTGTGAGCTTAATCTAGCTTTTAAATAGTCTGTGATAACCTAAAATAGAATATAACCGCTAAATCATTTCTACAGTCCTGATAACTCTTTTTTATTAATAGGCAATCATGAGTGTCAATACAAATATCTCTTTCATTTATGTCATCGTAAATCTATACTTATACGTCTTGTGTGTGTTTATATATAGCCTGTATATTTATTATTATATTCAATGTTTGTCTCTTTGCTCGCACTATGCATTGCCGACATTTAATAAAATTAACGCTTGAGGTGGGCAGTATTAAAACTAGGGACCGTGGATGCACACTGCTGAGGAGTCCCACACTAGGACGAAACAGCTCTCCAGTGCCTCCAGGTTTTCCATGGTGGTCTAACTTTAATTAACTAATGAGTTCAACTAATAAATTTCATTTTTATCAAACTGGGACATCATAACAGATACTTTTATATCATATATTAGTAAAGAAGTAAAAAATTTCATATTTGTTTTCATTCAATGTTTAGACTTTAAATAATATTTACAAATTTTTACTAGCTTTTGAAACGAAAGCTTTTGAGTTCGAGTCCCTCTGTGAGCGTAAATACTGGGATAAAAGTACATACATCTGACTAATCCCAAAGATGAGAGAACGCTTTTTGTGAATTCTATTGCTAATCACTATCTATCTTCACTTAAACTTTTAGATAATCTGGGTACTTTTTAATATGCATTACGGACTAAATCTCTTTTTTTTTAATTTTTAATTTATGTCTAAATTGAACTACATTTCAACAGTATTCATTAATTGGTCTGTACACTAAATAACGTAATTTAGTATATTCCTCTATTATCCATATTTTTTTCACGTTACAGGTGGATTAGAATATGAATTATATTGTACACAAACACCAGCTGGATTTAGACCACCTACAAATACATCATCTATAATCACTAAACCAACATTTAATACTAAACAAACATCTGCATCTATAACATCTCCATTAGTTCATCGATTAAATAGACCTGCTCCTGCTGTTCCTCCTGCTCTCCATCATCAACATCATCATTGTGGTACTTCTTCTTTACTACAAACATCACTTTCTTTACCTCCATTAGCTCAACCATCTATTGTAAATGCAACAGAAAAGATTAATCGATCATTGGTTATGAATAATTTACAACAAATGAATTTATCAAAATTAAAAACGGTAAAGATAATTAATGTTTATAATCACTAACATTATTTGCTTTACCTTGAGAAGTGGTTGTTTAATCCTTCATTCTTTTTCAGTAAAAAATGAGTTTTGGAAACTGTCGTATATTATTTAAATCATGAACAACCAGTGAAAACCAGGAGGCATTAAACTTCTCCGGAGGAGTGATTTGAAGGTTGAACTTTAGGCACCAGAACTGAAGAGAATGTGTCGGACCGTCAACGGATTAGAAATGTCTATTACCGACCTTTATTTCCTCTTTGTTTGGATCTATGTATGGCAGTTGTTATTATTATTGTAAATAGTCTAGTTTACTGAAGATGCCACTAATTTTTAGCACATTTATCTTCAGGAAAGAATATACTGATTACTTGTAAGGTATATTATCCTATACTATATCCTTAAATACAACCCATCTTTTATATATTACCACCACTAAATTAACTACTTTTATGAATCCAGCGTTCATCATGTTGTGCTAACAAGGTATGGCAACTTGGACCGATGCATATGTGTTCCTGGTCTTACGTTATAGCTGACTAACTGACTGACTGACTGATATTATCAATTATAAATCCATAAAATATATCGGGGAAAACTACCGAAAAATATGATCAAAGTATAACAGATTTATGAATTCATTACATTAGCTGCTTATTGTTTGAGTGAAATGTTTGAAACTATAAACGAAAGATGGCATTATTTCTCATACAACAGTAGATGATTTAATCCTGTTCAATGGATTGAAATCTTCTTTCTTTCAGTGCTAAGGACTGCAACTGATCAATCAGTTAGACATATGTGCTTTCTGAACAAATCACCTTGATATTGACACCATTTACAAGTATTTTCTGTAAAACATAGTTACGCTGATGACTTGCAGATCTTGACTCGAACAGTGTCAAGGCTCAGACTCTTACAACGGAATTATTATATGTCTTCATCATACAAGACATCGTCTATCTGAAGTTATAAACTAAGTGGATAACGTGTTAGTGTTTGAAATGAAAGACATTGAGCTAGAGTTTTAGTGTGAACATCAACGATATAACGCAAATATTTTCAGCTGAATAGTTTCAAGTATGGTCAATACGCTTGTCTTGTATTCTATCGTTAATCACCATCCAAGTTAGCTTAGAAAATAAAGTATTTAAATACTGTAGAAGATTTACGTATGTATGCGTTGCACGTAATTGATATGATTTATAATATTGAGATTTTAAAGTTTTTAAAAAAAAATTAATGAGCAACCTATATGCGCTTTTACTAAGTTTCGGTGAAACAGTTGACAGATCAACTTCGTACAAGTTGATGCATATATTCCAAAGAAGCCAGTTGTCTCTATGGCAATTCGAATTTTCAATATTTTACTTTATTTTAACATATATGCTACATCAATTATTTTTAAAATACTTTAGTCTATAATGTGTAGGTTTGTATTCACTGATAATTTTCAAGTCATCTGACAGACACAATAAGTTACAAAGTCTGAATCCCATTAAACACCTTTTTACTTCCATTCATAAGAATGTTAGTTTATTGTGAAAAATGCGGAGCAATACCATTTTTTCTTTAAATTTACATAACCCTTATGGAACTACATAAGTCAATGGATTTTATATGATGTACAAAGATCTGCGATGAACGAGAACGCAGGTGGGGATAACCAATATATTCACAAGAGAAATAAATAGTTTTTGCTAAAATATATGAGATGTACACTGAATACTTCATTTGCGAATTTCCATTGTTTGTCCTTCATATTCTGTATGATTCTTCCAGTCTGCAATTCTTTTCTATTTTCCATTCAATTCTCCTCAACTCGATTTTCATAGCCTTCTGCTGCCAGGTTTTCCACTTTCGACTGGTATTACATATTATTCATATCTGTCGACATAAATAGCATACATCGCAGATATAGCTTAAATTTTAATTTCAATCTTGCAATAGTATACTAGAAAAAACTCAAAGTTCTCTTACTAAAACAATTTAATCGATATAGTGGAGAAGCCAGCCTAAAGAAATGCTGTCATTTAAACGCATCTTATCTAAATAAAATTTAATCATTACTCCAAACTATACTTTAAACTTCGGTCACTTTGACGCATATCTCAACACGCGTTCCATTTTCACCACAATTATGACGGAATTCAACTGTCATGCATTCCATTGAAATCATTTAGATCGCCTTTAAAGACTTGTAAGCACAGAATGGCCGTTTCATCTTAGTATAAGACTCCTCAGAAGTGCGTCTCCACGATTCCGTACGCGAGATTTACACAAATACACTCACACATTTACTGAAACTACTTTCTTAATTCAGAGTTTGTTTTCTTTACACCGTTTTCAATTGCCTAAATTACTAGTTGTAATTGTAAAACTTTCCAACCAGTAAATATCAAATCAGTTTTTCTACAATTACTTTAAATCATTAAAAGAATAGAAACGTAGCTCTTATCAGTTATCTCATTTGGGCATATAATAATAATAATAATAATAACCCTCCTTTTCTTTCCTTGATATTTCTTTCTTCCTTTTTTCTTCTTCTTCTTCTTCAATATTAATCATTATTCACAGTTTATCAATTGACCATAATCATTCTATTTATTTAACTTAGTCAAGTATAAAACTTTTGCTGGATTATTATTTTTTTTTATACTAGAAAAAAAGGTTTAGCTATTTTTTATTTTTCGCCCCATTATTCTTCTAATCATTTTTTTTTTAGTTTGATAGTCCATAAATGACCTAATTACCTGATGAGGTCAGTGAGTTGAAAATGATGCCAGAGTTGAATTGGTAGCAGACAATAATCAGGGTGGGGGAGAGGGTGTCGAGAGCGAGAGAGAGAGAGAGAGAGAGGGGGGGTTAAGAGAGAAAAGAGGAATAAGAAACGACTGAAAGTTACCCGTTATTGTTATTATTATTACTATTATTATTTCGTTGTTTGGTTGATTAACATAGTTAATCTTATAACAATAATAATAATGAAAATCGTAGGAAACAATAAATAAAAAAAAGAAAACTATTTCACTAGGTCAGAGAAACTATGAGAAGGAAAAGAAAAATTTAATTTATTTTATTCCATTCATTTTTAAAAAGAAAAAAAATATCTATGTATATATATACATATATAACACAGTTTGATTGTTTGGTTTGATTTAGTTTAAGGATAAAATAGTATGGAAGATATGAATCATAATATTTATAAAACATAGTTATATATACATATATATTACTGATAATTGTAACTAAGTTATTTCAATATTCCAAATAAATGAGAGGCAGTAACCAGTAGAGTTCAACCAAGTCTGTTGTAGAGATATCAACTCACTGATGACATTAGTGGATGTGTTGCTCAATTTTGTGGATTGGTTGAAGTTAGACATTAACACAATTGGATGATGACTCAGTCGTATATTGGTTAAATGCTCATGTGCGTGACTGATAAGTCCTGGGTTGGAATCTGGCAAGGCGAGATCGTGGATGCTCACTGCTACTGAGGAGTCCCACAATAGGACGAAACGGTCGTTGAGTGCTTCAAGGTTTACCATGGTTATCTAGCTTCAATTGACTCATGATTTCAAATGTATAAAAAATAAATAACTGGTATAAGGGAATGTTGAAATTTAGTTGTAGAATTCGATTATAAAATAGCTTTGAGATTTTAAGGCTATGAAATGTTGAACATGTAAAATTGTTGAGTAGTTTAGTTATGTTAGGTAAGACTTATTTTACCTGTGATTTGCTTGATAATTTTGTTGTTGAGGGTCATAGATAACTTGTCACTAAGATAATGTTGGTGTTCCGTATTGACTGGTTGAATACATCATTGCTAGGAGCATCTAGTTTATGTTTATAAATGGTAATTAAATTATTGTATTGTTAATTCTGAGTACTCTATTCTAATTTAGTATTTCTGAATGACGTTGATTGTTTTTTGATTGGTTATTATCACTTAGTTTACAACTTTCCTATGTGTTATTAGGTGATGCTTTTTACAATATATATACAGAGTTGTTCCATACATATTTTCTCTTCTTTGAATGCTAAGCTTTTTTAATACTCTTGTGATCTCATTTGGTCCCAGTATTTGGAGAGTATTAATGCAACAGCTGCCGCATTATCGAGTTTACAATTGATTTCGTTCATACTAGAATAATATCAATCATTCGTAATTGAAAGTTATCGTAGGGCCAACTAAAACCAATATTCGTTTTTTTTTACATTTTTCGTTTGACAAACTCAAAAGTCAACGTAAATGTTTTTAGTAAGCTCAGGTTTATAAGTGGATAGGAATCAAAGTATGTTTTTGGGTGTTCTATTCAATACAATAGACAATGCGAAGTGCTAACTTAAACTTAAGATATTGATCATTTAATTAAACTATCATAAATTAATTTTACTCAACTAACAATCGGATATCAAATAGACAGGAATATTATCAGAAGTGGGTTTTGTAGAGATTTCAGTATTTTTCAAAGTTTAAATCATAAGTCAATTGAAGCTAGATCACCATGGAAAACTTGGAAGTACTGGACAACCGTTTCGTCCTTTTGTGGAACTCCTTAGCGGTAGTACGCATTCACGATCCCGCACTCGCGAGAATAAAATATTATACAACCATTTTAAAAATTAACCATCATTAACCTTATCATAAGAATTAATTAAACTAACACTTTTGAAATATATTACAAATGCTTATTACAATTTATAGTAGGTTCTAATAACATTATTGAGATAAAAAATACTTAAAAATCTTAAACGGGTAGTTATTAGTTAGATCTTCAACTAGATTTATAAATCGTTTTTAATCTTGTTAATATTTTGACTGAAGAAATTATAATCAGAAAGGAAGTTATGTGAAGATTGTGGTAATTTAATAGTTGAATTCATGAGTCGAAAACAATGATGGACAGTTGCTCAATCTCGCGGGTTGGTTGGTGTTGAATGTTAACACCACTGGATGCTGGCCCAATGGTCTATCGGTTAAGTGCTCTGGCGCGAGACTGGTAAGTCTTGGGTTCGAATCTCGCTCGCAAGGCGGGATCGTGGATGTGCACTGCCACTGAGGAGTCCCATAATAGAACGAAACGGCCGTCCAGTACTTCCAGGTTTTCCATAGTGGTCTAGTTTCAATTGACTAACGATTTCAACTTTGAAAAATGCTGAAATCTCCACAAATCCCCTACTGATTATAATAATATGCTCACTAGTGACTGACTTCAAGATACATGTCCTGGAGTTATAGTGGAAAGCAGTGACCAGTGGAGTTCAACCACGTCTGTTGTGAGATAACAACTTACTGACGGCAATTGGTGAATGGTCGCTCATAATTCGTGAATCGGTTGACGTTAGACATTTACATGATTTGTTAGTTATAGAATTTGGAAATTAATATCAGACAAGTTCGATATTTAAAACCTAAAGATCGATATTCTAGCTTTTTGTTTGTCTATTTTCTTGTCTTGACTATTTATTCACAAATGAAAATTGAAAAAACAGGTGTTTTATTAAAATAAATTGAACTTTATATCCCGATTCTTTGGTCAAACTAGTTTCTTTTATCTCGTTTACAAATTCCTTAATGTAACAAAAGATATACTGTTACTCCGTTTTAATTGAATTCATGATTACAATTGTTGATAACTGATAGTTTTTGTTTGGATATGAATGACTTAACTAACTGTACTTACTTACACCTGTTATTCCTCGTGAAGGAGCATAGGTCGCACACCAGCACTCTCCATCCCACTCCCTCCTGGGCAATTCTTTCCATTTCTTTCCAATTGCTATTCATCCTTTTCATATCTGCTTCTATTTCCCTGCGTAATGTGTTCTTTGGCCTTCCTCTTTTCCGCTTCCCTTCTGAATTCCAAATTAGGGCTTGTCTCGTGATGCAGTTTAGTGATTTGCTTAATGTATGTCCTATCTACTTCTAACATCTTTTCCTAATTTCCTCTTCAGCTGGAAGCTGGTTTGTCTTCTCCCATAAAACGCTGTTGCTGATAGCATCCGGCCAGTGAATTTTGAGTATTTTACGTTTATCCAATGTAGTTTATATTGATCTGTCATAAAATAATTTCTCAAAGCTCACGTAAATGACATTTTTTTAATTGCTTTACAATTAGGTATTTCTACTTACTTACTTACGCCTGTTACTGCCAATGGAGAATAGGTCGCCGACCAGCATTCTCCAAACCATTCTGTCCTGGGCCTTCTTTTCTAGTTATATCTAGTTATTGTTCATTCCTCTTATGTCTGTCTCCATTTCTCGGCGTAATGTGTTCTTTGGTCTTCCTCTTCTCCTTTGGACTTCAGGATTCCATGTGAGTGCTTGTCTTGTGAAACAGTTGGGTGATACCCTCAATGTGTGTCCTATACACTTGCAGCGCTTCTTCCTGATTTCTTCCTCCGCTGGATGGATACTGGTTTGTTGTTTCCCGCAGTAGCTTGTTTGCTGATAGTGCCTGGCTAACGTATCAGAGGTATCTTGCGTAGACAACTGTTAATAAACACCTGTATCTTATGGATGATAGCTTTCGTAGTTCTCCATACAGTAGAACTTTCTAGACATTTGTATTGAAAATTCTGATCTTGGTGTTGATTGACAATTGTTATGAGTTCCAGATGTTCTTCAGTTGTAAATATGCTGCTCTTGCTTTGCCGATCCGCGCCCTCACATTATTTACTACGTATAATATAAATTGACGTGAAGATAAAAAGGAGTATATAATGTATTTCTGATGACAATGACTGGTATGACAATAGTAAAAAGACCAGTGAAATACTTACTTTCATCAACGCTTCAGTCATTGAATAAAATGTTTCTTATTAAGATGCTGATCATAAATGTATGTTTCTTAATTAAAACAACTGTTAGTAGTGAATCATTGATAAGGACTTCCTAACAGTGGATTGTCAATATTTCATACGGTTTGTAAATCGAGGATTTTTAATTGTTACTGCTAGCATGATTACTTTATATCGGGATCGAAATAAAATGATTCATATTTATATCGTTAGTCAGCTTGCAACATAACACTATCATCATTCTTTACTGATGTAAGGTTCATTTTTACTAGAAATGAAAGAAGAATATGACGCCTCAAAATGAAAATAGAACTACTACTTAGGGAATTCTAATTTTGTGTAGTTTTTTATTTAGTATTAGTCTATGATAAAAATTAATTTCATATTGAACAGTATTCAAAAATCCATGACAGTCAATTGTGAATTCAGGCAATCTGTTAACGATTCGTGTGCGGAATTGAAAGTCTTGTGTTTGACCCACGCTGTTGAGGTCGTTTGTGCCCACTCCTGATGAATCCCATACTAGATCAAAATGGCCGTACAGTGTTTTCAGACTTTCACTAATGATCTAGCTGAGATAGTTTTATGATTTCAATGAAATTCAACAATCTCCTCAACCTCATTTTGACAAAGACTACAAAACAGGTTGATACCGACTAGAAGTCTTAGAACTTTACTCTTAAAGTTCTAGTGAAAGGACTTGACAGATGAAGTTCAACAATGTCAATAATAAAATAGTTATCACTGATAATAATTGATAATGGATAGTGAATAGACTAATGTTGGAAATCTGAACCATCCATTGCTAATTCAATGGTCTAAAATTTACGCGATCTTGGTTCAATACATTGAGAGTTTGTGAATGAATAACGCCCTTGAACCTCATACTACAGCAAAGTAGTTTGTGCATTTCCTTAGTTTTTAAAGAGTTCCCGACTGAATTCAATCCGTTTTTTGCTTAAAGAAATAGATAGCTGACATCAAATATTATTAGATAATAGATATTTGTTTTCTTATGTAGAACACATTCAATGGTTTCAATTCAATGAAAAAATTATTGCTCAAAATTTGTGACCTAATGAGGATCAGTTCATCTTATTAAGAACAAATAATCCTATTATATCGTCTTTGATACTGTATATGTATATGTGTATATGTCATGGAGTTTCTTTTCTTTCAAACGTCAAAGTGGTCATACCAGCCTGTACCAACTTATTGTGAAACTTCTATCAAAGATAACAGGCTCAAAAAGTTTCTATATAAAGAATCGAAAATTTCAAATATGAGTCACTATGGCATAAATTTTGAAACAAACTGTAATTGAAAAAGAAACCTTAATGGATGATCGAGTTGTGATGTGGTTTTAACTGATTTTGGGTTACTTAAGTTTTATTTTTCAATTTTAACTACTAACATTAATAATAGTAGCACAACTGTAAACATGAAAGTTATTATCAGTGGCTAACATGCCTCCAGCTTTAAATTCACTTACGATTGATCTAAGCTGCAAAATATGTTCACGCTTTCTCAATAGCATACTACAATAGAAACGAAACTGAGTTGAATTGTCTTTACGCCAATAACTTTTTAGATTGTTTTCGTAAGATTCCAATGATGAAGTGAGCAGTGATTATTCATTTTATAGATAATTCAGGAAGTAACATCTTTAACATCAAACTTTTTTCTTGGCATTTGAAATCTTGCATTATGCCAGGAAGAATTAATTACATTATTATCATAAACTTTTTGGACCCTATGAAGTTCTATTTATATTAATCTATTTAATTCACTGAATAAATCCTGAGAAAATGAATAAATAAAACTATATGTAACTCAGTTGACGTTATTTTGCTCCTAAGACAGTAGATACTTTTTCCTGTTGTAATTGATGTTATTTTATATTCATAAATTATCTCTGAAATTTCTTTCGCGTTATCTTTCATGTGGAAGAGTATTCGAAGAATGTTGGACTTTCAAAACTGCTCCAACTAAAAATTGTTGTATATTTTTTTATTTTAATAACTGAATTCATGAGTCAATCTAAGCTGAACCGCCATCGGAACCCCGAAAGCATTGGACGAATGTTTCGTCCTATTACTGGTATCCTCAGGAGTGTATATACATGACCTTTCACATGGGGCCTGAAGTCAGGATATTCGATCTCGCACGCGAGTGCCTAAACTCTATACCATTTACCACCTCACTGGATCCATGATTATATGCAATACTTTGTCCGTTGGCTGACGTTGAGAACTGTCTTCCTTTCGACGCGGATCATGGCTTCTCACTAGATTTTCAAGAAATCCATCTTAAAGTTTATCACCAGTGAGTAGATTATTATCATCAGAATGGGGATTTGTGGAGATTGTTGTATTTTTAATAATTGAATTCATCAATCGATCTAAATAAATATTCAACATTTGAATGATTTTATTTTAAAATTACCTCGATATTTAAATTTTCTCTTTTGATGTTCAATCTCTTATTGTATGCTTTTCACATTCTTTAAGTTACCATTAATGTAATTACTGAACTATTAGTCAGTTTTTTATCACTTATGACCTAAGGAAAGAATGTAAGTCCTCTATTCCACTGTTAGTCACTAACATACTTTACTATAAACTCATATAGACAATTACTTATACATTCCTTAAAAGTTTATTAAGTTCTGCACAATTCATTTTGCCCATTTTTGAAAATTTTTTTTGTTAAAATGTCACGGTAACAATTTTTTTTTTGATTGTTCAAGATAACGGATAACAACGATGTTCATAATGAGAATTACAAGGAAAATAACATTAATTTAAACAGAAACCAATATCATATTAGTGGACAGATTCATGTTAATCAATCTGATGGAAATGTAACCAGTTATCAGTAAGTGTCTATACTTTTTTCTATTATTTATTTATGAAATTTTCAACTGTAGATATTGTTATAACGTGTGTACCTGTGTGCTTGGTTTATCTTTATGACGTTATAAGACCGCCAATTCGAGAGGAGTGAAATATCGATCGGAACAGTGATACGCGAAAACTGTACGTACAGTTTAGAGTACTTATCAATCCTGCTATTTACCTAACCAAGCCAGTTAAGTCCAAAACAGCATTAACAGCCTCTGCAATATGAAATCATTATTCTTAAACATACTGGGTTTATATACCAACCAAACAGACCACATCGTACCATAAAATAGAAAATGACATTTGTACAAGATTTGGCCGAATGTGGCAGTGAAAAGGAGGGACAGTAATTAATGGACTACGGATAACTGAAGAATGGTAAATCGTATAATAATAGTCTATAGGTCAAAATAAAGCTTATAATAAGAGGAACGCAAATATGAATAGTTTAAATTCATTTAATATTGTTTGTTTGAATCTTCCGATCGATGTGTTAGACTGCAACTGGTCAGTCTCCAATTGGCATATGTGCATACTGTGCGTATTGCCTCGATTTAGCCGTGATTCATAAGCATTGCAAGCGAAGATGGATAGTGGCTAGCAGTGGAATAAAGGATGCGCGTTTCGTACTTGCTTGTGCGGTGAATAGTTTAGTTACTTAACAATTATACAATAGCAAATATACGTATCATATTGGTCCATAAATAGTCCTCAGAGTTACCATACATAATTCTCTTCTGAATATAACAGATATATATAGCCAATATGTTATACCTTGTGGCCGAGTGGATGACTAGTTGATGTGTGGCTCGATAGAACAGCCAAACAGGGAGCAGCGGATTATCGGTTGGAACAGTGACACGAAACCCGTACGAGCAGACTAGAGTGCTAACCGGTCCTGCTATCTGCCTAGCCCAACCAGTTAAGTCCAAAACACCAATAACAGCCTCAGTTTTATGAATCATTGTATTTCAAGTTTATATACCAACCATATCGACCCATAAAATAGATAATAACATTTGTGAAATATTTAGCCGAATGTGGCTGTGAATAGTAATCAATAAACTGATGATAACTCAAGGATCGTATAATATTAGTTCAAAGGTCAAAATAAAGTTAGTGATAAGAGGAAACGAATATGATTAGGTTAATTACAATGGGAAATATACATACTATATTGACCAATAAATAGTCCTCAAAAGTAACCATTCATAATTCTCTTCAGGATACAACACAATTGGCTTGTTTTCCAAACTGTAGTCATTGTAATATACACTGTTGTACATCAAAAACGATGTTAAATTTATTGGAAGATTCAGATAAAGTGAGTGAATCTCAAGTAAAATCTTTAAAAAAAAAACTAAAATAAACAATTTTCCACTTGAAAGTTACTATTATTAATGACTAAGTATGTAATGTACATTACAAACTTCATTCATTAGAAAAATAAAGATGTTTATACGCATCAAAGTAAAATATAAAAAAAGCCGGAATTTCGTGCAATAGTTGCTGGAAGTGGATAGGACAGATATTAAGGAAATCACCATTATGCATCACGAGGCAATCCCTAATTTGGAATCCAGAAGGGAAGCGGAAAAGAGGAAGCCCAAAGAACACAATACGTCGGGAAATATAAGCCGATATGAAAAGGATGAATAGCAACTGGAAAGAACTGGAAAGGAAGGCTCAGGACAGAGTTGGATGGAGAGTGCTGGTGAGCGGCCTATGCTCCTCGATGAGGAGTAACAGGCGTAAGTAAGTAAGTAACTATTACTATTATATAATACATTTCAAATGTTAGGCGTGAATCATTTTCTACTGAACAATGATATTGATTTATGAATTATTCTCTTTTAAATGCTTGTTTTTTTTCTGTTCAACTGTTTATCAACAGTGATGCTTCTTCTCTTAAGGCTTCAAACCTACCTGGAAGTTATTTATCTCGATCAGTTATAGATCAGGCAAGTTATTTCAATTACTTTTTCTCCATACATTCATTTAATGTACAGATTGTTTTAATGAAACGATTAGGAGAAAATGTTTTGGTCATAATAAGTTACTGTTGAATCCATTTTGTTGTTTAAGTAAGGTATAATTAGTCATTAATTGATCAGGCAAATGATTAGTAATAATAAATTACATTGATCTGATTATATACGCTGATAAATAGTATGTATACGGAATTAAAATGATCCATTATGGTAGTTTAACGTTTACAGTTTACAGAATACATTTACCGTTAGGGAATTATTTACTATTGTTTTAACGTTTGATTAGTGACAAATGTAATAAATATTTAACCTTTCAGTGACGATTAAATCCTATCGATGGAGTAGAAATATTTTCACTAGTCTAAGTTACTCATGATGACATGCTGTTTTTTGATAACAGGATATTAGAGGAAGTCTAGTGCAAAATAAACACTACAGTGACCAATGCTCATTGATCAACTAATGGTAGGTTAGTAGTACCCTGAGAAGCTCAATGGTATCGACTCAGACTGTGAAGCTAAATAAAGCATGTTCGGTTATCACGGGGAGAATCACCCACCTCAAGATTGTAGGTATGTTTTGCCGATGAGTGCCAGCTAGGATAAGATTTAAGTCTAGGATTTCTGGTCAACGGCAACAAATCACTTAAGCTTAAGTAATAATGTTTGAGGCAATGATAGTTAAGTTTCTTTGTTAAAATAATAATAAAAACAAATGACTGGTCAGTGTATTTCAGTGATTGGACAATTGACTTTCTACAACGTATATCTTTTTCAGTTTGGGGATTTGTGGAGATTATGGTTCATTTTAAAGTCAGGTTTACGAGTCGGCTCACTGGTCTAGAGGTTAAGCGTCCACGCGTGAGACCAAAGGTTCTAAGTTCGAATCCTGCATGCGGATTCGTGGATGCGAACTCTTAAGGAGTCCCATAATAGGACGGTACAGCCGTCAAGGTCTTCCGGGCTTTCATTGGTGGTCTAACTCAGATCAACTACTACATTCAAGTTTGAAGTGTATCTTTACATTTAGTTATCTTATAACTTAACATATGAATGAGATAACTACTGATTGAATAAAAAGTAGTCAGAGAGACAGATTGTTGATTACTGAACTCAGATTTCATACGTTCCAAACCTAGGTTAATTTTCTCAGTTTTGATAACCAACGATAAGTATCAGTAGTTTCATTACATGTTGTTGCTATGTTCGAGAAATTATTATATTGCCTTGGACCGGTTAATGGAACAAAAATCAACAACACAACAACAGGACATGCTGAGTTATTGCTCTGCAACTAAAAGAAGTAGACTATATTTGGCCGGGTAAATATTAAATTCCACAATTGACTCTGAAGAACGAACAACAAGAATGCAACTCATGAGTAATATGTAAAATACAAAAATGTCATTGAAAAACCTTATAAATTAGCATGCCAAAAGAGAAAACTAACCAATGAAGTTTAAGGTTCTTCCAGTCGGTGGACTCAATCTGTAAATAATAATGAGCGATTTTGACACAAAAATGGGAAGTTTAAATTTCCACAATTAAATTACAAATATATGAAGTTTACCAGGTGATTTCTGGAAATCTAGTATCCCAAACAGTTGTGTATCTTGAAACCAAGTGCTTGTACATTGTAATACATGAATTCATCATTTAATCACATGACGACTATTTTGTAAGTGAAATACTTATTTTAACAACAACTAATAGCTAAGCTGAATGCTTTCTAGTATTGTAGTGAACAGAACACTGGTTGGGGACAATCGAATGTATTTAAGCAAACATTACAAACTATCTCAATAAATTCTAATAACCATACAATGGACAGTTAATTTGCAAATTAACAACCAATAGTCTCCATGTTCACTGTTTCTTCTTTAATTCCATTGCTCATGCATTTCCCAAATCATTGCGCTTCATTTCAGTTCTTTTCTCATCGGTTTTCTGCCAAAATACATTCTATGTCTGACCCACACCATATACTACTTACATGGATATAAGTAGACCACACCACAGTATCAGTGAGTTATTTGAGGTAGATATTTTTATTTGGGAACATTTAAAAAATATATTCTAAAAACATTGTTATCATTCTAGACAATGTTATTAGAGTTCCAAAGTCCAACTATTTAAGTTTAGTTAACAACGACAACCACACATGGAGTTTCTGATAACTTCAGATCAACCGGAAACAATTATCGATTGCTACATTGTTACTAAGTTCATTCTTCAGGTTGTATTTTCATTTTATAGTACTTCATATTATTGCTAATCAACAACTTAACTTTCTTTTTTTTCTTCTTTCTTTATCATGTTTTAAACTAGAGTGATTATGTTAATATTCCACAATCAAAATTAAATAACGATCAAATTTCTCCTAATAATAATAATCCATTATCCTTGACAACAAATGAATTACCTACCTATATGATACTACCATCATCTGTATCATCATTAAATGATTATTTATTACCAATACCTAATTCATTGACTACATCTATGTTGAATACAACAGATATCAGTATTATAACTAATATTAATAATGATGATTTATTAATGGATACATCATTTTTATCAACTGTACCTGAAGAAGATTATGATATAGGTGATATAACAAGTTCTAATAAGACAACACCACAACAAAGTCCTTGTAAAAGAGTTTATTTAATGAAACCATTAAATAACAACTTGTTGGAATCAAATCAGAATAATCAGAATAATAATTCTGAAGGTATTCATGATATTGTACATCATAGTTCGCCAAAGTCTATATCACCAATCACTATGTAAGTTATGTGTATTTACAAATTTTATAAAAGGTATATATGTATTTGTGCTGTATATCTATAGTGAATATATTATTCAATGCCAAGGAAGATATAAATTGCCTATTGAATAAATTCAACACTATCCAAAACCATATCAGTCTTTCGTGCGAAGAGAAGATGAACGACCGACTTCCCTTCCTAGATGTACTTCTAAGCAGACGAGAAGATGGCTTAATAAAACGATCCATTTTTCGAAAATCTACGTGGACGGGTCAATATCTTAGATACTATAGTTATTGTCTTGTGCAATACAAACGTGGTTTGGTAAAGTACCATTTTAACAGGCTTCGTCGTATTTGCACAAACGACGCTATTGATGACGATGTTAAAACTTCAAGCATTGAAGCATTGAACATTATCGGGAATGGCTATCCACCTAAATTTATCAAAAGATGGAAAGTTCAGGGCACAGCGAGACCTACTGTAGCCTTGGTAGAGAAAAAGCCTGTGTACATCACCTTACCATTTAGAGGTGAATCAAATAGCCTTTTATTGAAACAAAGGCTTAAATCTGTCATCAACAAAACGTATTGTGCTGCAAAGGGCATAATCAAATAAAGAACGAAGTCCATGCTTCATTCAAAACCTAGACGACATGAAAACGATTGTGTCACATCCCACTGCGTTTACCAATTTAAATGTGTGTGTGGTCACACATACATAGGGAGGAGCAATCGTGATCTGAAAATTAGGGTGAGTGAACATGTACCAATACGGTTGCAGAAACAATTAGAATTAAATGACCTAATAATAATAGATGATAAACATTCATCATCGCTTGTTATCAAACTTAGCTGAAACAGGTCATAAGATTAAATTCATTCAATATTGTTTGTTTGAATCTTCCCATCAATTTGCTAGGACTGCAACGGGTCAGTCTCCAATTAGCATATGTGCATACTATGCGTATTGCCTCGATATAGCCTTAATTCATAAGATTGGTCTTAACTCGGTTTTTGTGGTGTTGTATAAAAGTGTAATAGGGCGTATACTAAAGTTTATTGAAGCCTTAGCAATACGAAAATTCAAACCCCCTTTGTGTATTCAAAAACAGTTTGTTCTCTCCTTAAACCTACTTCGGTTAATATTAGCGTATTATCCAGAGTGATTGGGTGTCAAATTGTTTTCACATTATTTTTATTATTGTCCTTGTCTCCTGTTATCCCCCATTTCCAGTATACATGACCTTTTATTTTTATATATAAATGTCCTTAACAAGTATATTATGTATGATCAGATTGTTCGAAATGTATTGCGCTAATATATCATCACATAGTTCTGATAATCTTCGTCTTCTTATTACGTTATCGAAATATGCTCAGTTGTGCCGAAAAAATTCTTCCCAAATCCTCATCTTATCCAATTACCGAGTGAACATTCAGAAAGTATTCATAAAAAAGGCGTTTTTCCAACAATTTCGAACAATTTAAACCATATTTCTTTATAAGATACATTTTCTTATTGCGTAGAATTAAGTCAATTGAAGCGTCTAACAGCACAGTGATAAAGTTCAAGACTAATTTAAAAAGATATGATAAATGATTGCAAACTTCACATTCTGAAGTATCTTTGGCGATCAACGCATTTATGTCCATAGGAGAGAAAAGAGTGTCTAAAATAATTACAGAAAAGTTAATTACAACATACAATAGCGTAAATAGCAGCCTGTAGCTGTGTCTTAAGTCAATACAGACCATCAACAATCAAACGGCTACTAAGAGCCTAAAAATGTGGGCCTATTGCGAATGGAAGTGTTACGTCCTTGAATCTGTCTACCCACTTCCGTGCCGAGTATAAGTTGTCTAATGTCGATTAAGACTTAGTCGTGATAGGCTTAACCTTTAGGCTAGTATGCGGGAGTTCGAAGTGGGGGTCGAGAGACGAAAACTATTCTATCCCTGATTGGCTGAGAAGCACGAGAGAGAGAGAAGACAACTGTAACACTACTCGCTTCCTAGCGATCCCGATGTAGCACTCGAATTCCCGATTCAGATTAGTGCGAAAAGATACATGAATAAATAAATGAATAACCTGACCACAACGTACAATAATTAGTAAAATACAATTATGTTCAATATTGGGGGATTAGAGTAGAAAATATAGTACAGAAGGTTGCGTCTAAGTTACATTAGCTTTGGAACAGAAAAGGCTATGACAGTGAATCGTACATCAAACAAAAGCTCATAATCTGTAGAAAAGACTAGGGGCAAAAGTAAATGTTACAGTTATACAAGCTTTAAATAAAATGAAACAACGTCCCCAAAAATAGCTTCCGTAGTTTGTTAGGGCTTCTTGTTTTGTGATTCACATCAGGAAGAAAAGTTCAAAAAGTATGCAAAACCTGGGAATAATAGTTTCAGCTGTTTGGAGAATAAAATTACAACAATAAACAAAAAGAACATCATTATGAAAATAAATAAGAATGCTACAAGTCATCAACCCTCCACCATGTTCAAAAGTTGTTTATAAAGAAACTGATTACTGAATTCAAACAAGTAGTATAAGTTAATACGCAAAAACAGTTGAACTTTAAGAAAGAGCGCAGGTGGACTTGACGCTATAATTAATTCAAGAATTTCATTGCAATTAGTTTATCGTTTCATGAAAGTAAAGACAGTATGGAGATTTGTGAAGATTATGGTTTATTTTAAAGTCAGTTTTACGAGCCGGCTCAGTGGTCTAGAGGTTAAGCGTCCGCACGTGAGACCTATGGTCCTAAGTACGTATCCTGCGTGAGGGGTCGTGGATGCGGGAGTAATCTACCTTAAAACATGATGGATCGGACTTGAATTTCGTTGTAATTAGGTTTGTAATCTAATATTAGCATTTCATTAAAATCAATGAGTAATTTGGTTCGTTAACATACATGGGTAGTTAACTGGATTCTATAAAGTATGTACTTTAATTATTTTGGTTACATCATCCTTATGATTTTAAAATTTGTGTTTTTTTTTCTGAAAAATTCCATTTTATAGACTACAAACTGCACAATCACTTCATAATAAGGAAACTGAATTGCACAGTAATTCATCTGGTCAAATACACTCTGATGAAAATGTTGAATTACAACAATTATCACCATCATCATCACCATTATTATTATCATCAAAATTATCTCAAATATCTTTATCTCAATCTCAAGAAATTTCAGATAGTTATTGTGCTCGACCTAATAGAAAACCAAAACGTTATCGAAACTCCAGAGCACCAGCACCGCCCACACCAACAACAACAATAATGACAACTGTGACAAATTCACCTACTACTTCCTTACCATTAAGTCCTTCAATGAATCAATCAGTGATAGAACCACCACCTCCACCCCGTCGATCAATGCGAAATAATCCTGATACACCTCATACTAGTGATTCAGATATGGACGATCCAGATTATAAAAATTTAGGGAAATCGCGACAAATTCATCAAGTTTCATCAAGTCCGTAAGTGTTAATAGCTAAACAAAACAATACTATTTGAGTTTTGTAGGTGACCAAACAATCAAATATTTCGTTTCTTATAATATTATTAATAAGATTGATGAATTTATAATTGTCGTACATGGTTTGCTTAAGTTGGTTAAATAAAATCAGGTTAAGAATTGATCGAATAAGGTACAACTTGATTCGAAGAATTCTGTCAATATTATAACGACATACATCATGATAATGTTGAATTAATGAACTTGAGATTATGTCTGACATGTATTAATTTGAGTAGTAGATTAGTCGAAAACTCCGATATACTGGACTGCTCTTCGGTTTTAGTATGGTATTCATCACCAGTATACAGTTATGACTATACTAGGAATCAAACTCGAGAGACTTTGCGTATGGAAGTAGTATGTTACACTTACATCACTAAGTTAAGATCTAATGGTCAACATATTCAATCTTGATCAATCGATGAAGTTTTCTTATCTGATTTATAACAATGCTGAAGTTAGTAACTCAGTGTAGGATTATGATTGTCAGTCATTCTTTCATCACCCCACAAAATGTATTTCCAATCTGGTATGCATACATATGGCCCGGATTTATTAATTTGATTGTATATTTATAAATATTCCAGGTTAATGAGGAGTATTTACTTTCAAAGTCATTTTTTCTTTTTCGGATTATGATGTTACTCGAAATTTCCAGCGTTTTTTCTTACGTAAAAGGGTGTCAGTATATTTCCAACGAATTTATGGTGTCGTTCTAGTTATTGAAAATAACAGCTTAGATCAACTTTTATCATAAAATCTTGTATGAAAATTATAATGAGATCTTGTTTCGAGTTTGTTCACATGGAAAGTAAGTTGTTGGACGGATCTCTCTTTCCTCATGTAACGTAGTGCACAAGAACACGAGTGGGGACAATGCAATGTTTTTAAGCTGAATTGACAAACTATCTTAATAAGATCTGATAATCATACAGTAAACAGTTAATTTGCAAAATAACAATCAGCTGTCTCAATCTTAACTGTCCTTTATTCAAATATCAGTCCGTCTTCTCTGATTTCATTGTTTATACATTTTCACACTATTTGTGCTTCATTCCTGTTCTTTCCTTATCGATCTTATGCTCAAATACATTCTTTGCCTGACCATCAGCATATACTACTTATGTGGATATAAGTAACCCACAGCACAGTAATCATTAGTAATGTTATGATGATTCATGAGATTTATAGATCACGTATCTGATTTAGCTGAAGTTGTATTTTCTAAATTGAGTTGTAAAAACAGAAGAAACAGTGAAAATTTCAGATTATCTTTCTAGACAACATCATCAGCACATAATTTCCGAAAGAAGTTATCCAAGAGAGATAATTTCAACTTCAAGATTCAATTAATTAGCTCAATGAATATAACTTCATTGAAATCAGAAACTAGTTTTAATGAAGTTCATTTTGTTTATTGTTGTAACTGTATTCTTTAAACAGTTGCAATAATTACTTTCAGGTTTTGCATACTTTTTGAACCTTTCTTTCATTTGCAATAAGTTCACATTTTTGGGTCGTTTGATTGTTGATGGTCTGTATTGACTCAAGACACAGCTACAGGCTGCTATTTACACTATTGTATGTTGTAATGACTTTTTCCATAATTACTTTGAACAGCTTTTACCATCTGTGGAAATAAACGCGTTGACCATCAAAGATACTTTACAATTTGAAGTTTACAATCATTTTGAACTAAATAATGAATACATTCAGTATTGTTGGTTTGCATCTTCCCATTGGTCTTCAGGACTGCAACTGGTCTGTCTCTTATTGGCATATGTGCATACTGTACGTATTGACTCAATATTGCCTTGATTCCCAAGCGCTAAAAGCAAAGATCGATATTGGCTAGTTGTGGAATCCACGGTGCGCGTTTCGTCCTATTTGCTGCTCATCAGCTGGTCGTTGACTTTGGGACTCGAACCCAGTACCTTTCTCTTCAAATGCCAACGCGTTATCAATTTTGAAATGCAGTTACATCCAGCTAACGAGTCCCAAATAGGACGAAGTGTCACTCGTCCTGGATTCCACTGCTATCTACTATCCATCTTTCTTTATAAATAATCAATAAATTTAATTTCCCATTTTCAAATTTTTAGTAACTCAATGAATAAAGAAGAGGAATTAAAAGATGATAATCCAAATTGTACTTCCAGAATAAACCATCTATATCAGAATAGAAAACAGTACCATTCAAATGATTTGAATAAATCAATGACATCAATACAAACAACAATAGCTCCTAGTCATTTGGAACAAAATCAAAATATCACTTGTATATGCTCATATTGTAATGAAATAAAACAAAATGATCAAATACAGCAATCGGATTATAATAAATCAATAATACGAAAACCAACTCCACCAAAACGATCACCTAAAACTGCTTTAACTAGGTAAAATTGTATTTATGTTTATTTATATCATAGTCTATCATAATTGATTGATCACTGGGTGGTGATCAATGTCATGTGTGTCAAGATCGAATGCTATCGATCAAGTTGCAATGTAGCCACTAGTCTAGGTGGCTCGACATTACGTGCACTATGTTGAGATAAGATGGTGGTTGGAGGTAATCAACACCTTGCTGACGAGTGCCAAGTAGCACGAAACCCGGGTTCAGGGTTTCCTGTTGATCACCTCCAACCACCATCTTATGGTCTAGTATAGAATACTTCTATCTTTATTTTAATAGAGTATTAAGCTATCAGATTATGAATTTGATTAGGTTTTATAAAGTGTTACTGACAGATTGATAAACTTCAAGTGGATTGAGAATACGGATAATGGTTAGAACTTAATGGGCAGATATTACTCAACAGAGTTTAACCTACCAATTATAAACAAAATCATATAGATCTGGAATAAGAGATTTTTAAACACTGATAGCCAGTTTGACAGAAATTAGGAGTCAGTTCTATAGGAGAGATTTTCGTTTTTTTACCAGTTGAATTCACGAGTTTATCTAAACTAGAGCACTATTGAATACCTGGAAGCAATGGATGTACGTTTCGTCCTAGTATGGAACCCCTCAGAAGTATGCATCCACGATCTCTCACGCGGGTCTTGAATGCAGGAATGGTGAATTCGATTGGTAAAAATCCTACAATCTTCACAGATCTCCTTAACTCTGTCAACAAGTCTATATATGATTTTAATCATTACTTTTATCAAGTTATATCAGAAAAATATCGAACATATTTAGTCCATTCGATAGGAATAGTTACAGCCACAAATATCAGCTACAACGTAGGACCAGGCACATATATTCATCGGTCCAAGTTGCCATACTTCGTTAGCACAACAAGATCAACACCGGATTCATAGAAGTAGTTAATTTAGTGGTGGTGGTACTATATAAATTATAGGTTCTATATAAGGATATAGTATAGGAAGGAAGAAAGTTATGAAGCAATTTTCGTCTCAAGGTTTAAGGGAAGAAAAAGAATGTATACACCCACGCCATTGTGATCGATTCTGAGCCATGTCACCTAGAGTCTCCAACCATTGATTACGATAGTCACGCGGACCCCAACCACGAAATCTGCATCTACCAACATGCTTCAGATAAGAAGTTAGTGGTAATCGGTGTTCAGGCATACGTAACACGATGGCCCAACCATATCAGTCGATGAAGACTCATCACCTCATCAACTGATTTACCATCATTCCCTAATACCCTGCGTCTAACCTCACTATTACTTACCTGGTGATCCCAGCAGATGCGAGCAATATTTCTAAGGCATCTGTGGTCAAATACTAGTAACGTACGAGTATCTTCTACTCTTAATTGCCAGGTTTCACAGCTGTAAAGTAGAACAGAGCGAACTGCTGCGTAGTATACTCGTCCCTTAATTGATAGACTGATATCTCACTTTCGCCATAGGTGACGTAATTTGTCAAAAGCCAAACGAGCTTTTTGAATCCGTGTTGAAATTTCGTCAGACACCAACCCATTAGGTCTGATCAGACTTCCAAGATAAGTGAAGTTGTCGACGCGTTCGGCTACTTCACTCCCTATCCTTAGTTCAGGTGTTGACGCAGGCCAGTCCTGAAGTAACGTTTTACATTTAGATGGGGAGAAACGCATCCCAAACATCCTGGCATTATTACTCAGTTCTAACAGAAGACTGCGTTTCGCCAGCGTCTTCACCAAACAGGACTATGTCATCTGCGTATTCTAAGTCGCCTAGTGGTCCCCCTGGTAGGAGATTAATTCCTGAAAATTCAGTCGCAGAGAGTGTTATTTCCAGCAACAGGTCTATAATGAAGTTAAACAAAAATGGGAATAGTGGACAGCCTTGACGGACACCACTTGAGGTTGTAAAATCATATGACAGTTCGCCATAAGCTCTCACTCGACTGGTAGTGTTCGAGTAAAGAGCCTTCACAAGGTTTATGTACTTCTCAGGTACACCTTTCAATGACAGACACTGCCACAGAACCTCTCGGTCTACAGAGTCAAATGCTGCTTTCAAGTCAAGAAAAACTATCATTGTCGGACGCCAATAAGCATATCTGTGCTCTAAAACTTGACGAACGGTGAATATGTGGTCGATACAGCCACGACCAGGTCTGAAGCCAGCTTGATTTTCTCGTGTTTGCAGTTCACGAGTCTTAGTAAGGCGCCCGATAATTATTGAGGCTAGTATTTTAGATGCTATGTTAGTCAGACTAATCCCTCTATGGTTATCACAGGATAATTTTGGCTCCTTCTTATGTATTGGGACAATCAGTGATTGTGACCAGTCGGATGGGATTATGTCCGTCTCCCAGATTTTAGCCAGAATATTAGTCAACCTAATTGCTAAAATTGGACCACCATATTTAAAGACCTCTGGAGCCAATCCATCTGGACCAGCTGCTCTTCCTCGTTTCAGATTACCTATAGCCTTTTGAACTTCAAGTAGGGTCGGGGGGCCTACTTCAATGTTCCATTCAGGTTTTCTAGGAATAGTTGGTAGTTGTGCAGTAGCTGAAGGCCAGCTAAACTGCTCCTTAAAGTGTTCCGCCCATCGTTCTAAACGTTTGGGTTGAGAGGAGATAAGGGTTCCGTCTTTTTCGGAGATTGTCTCACTTACACTTAACTTCTTAATTCCGGTTTCTTTTATTAGTCTGAATAGATGCCTGGTGTTGCCTACAGCCGCTGCCTTTTCCATCTCCTTTGCTTTCGTTGCCCACCACTGATTACGATCGTTCTTTAGACTTTTAGTTAACCTAGATCTAATTTCTTTACGCTCTTCGTCGTGTTCAGAGCCTGATGGGATGAGTTTACGCGAATCCATCAGTGAAATAGACTTAGAGGAAATCCACTGGTTTTTTGGAGCCCTATGGTTTAAATGACTAATAGATGTTACTGCTGTTTCCACAGCTGTTCGTATGTCTTTCCAAGCAGCATCTGGGTCAGTCTCGTTTACAGAACTGCCTAGATGTGAACTCAGTTGTTTCTGGAATTCGCATTTGGCTTTCTCGTTCTCCAGTTCAATCCTAATGGGTCTTCTTAGTGTCCTTTTCTTGCGTCCAGTGAGGCGCAGACAAATGCGCGCTCGTATTAAAGCGTGATCAGAGTCTAAACAAGTATTCCAATACGAGCGACAACCTTCTATTGAGCCTCTCCAACGATGACTGATGACCATATGGTCTATTTGAGTCCATCGTTGGTTTGGTGCAGGTGGTCGCCATGTTAGACGATGTCTCTCCTAATGTTTAAAATTAGTGCTTGCTAAAAATAAACTATTGTCTGAGCATAGTTGCAACAGACGATCATCAATATAGCAACATATAAATGTTTTTATAGTATTTAAATAATTTGTGTTAGTTGATTTTAAATTATAATGACTTTGGTATGTATGTAAAATTTTGGCATTATATTTAACTGACTATGTGAGTCAGGAATACATGTTTTACGTCTGGAAAAGGTGCGACAATATCCAATAGACTACCAAAATCGATATAGGAATGAGATGATGCTCAAAGGAATATTTTATTGATCTGAAACCATGAAAATTCTACTGGTCATCTTTAGGAAACTAGAAATCCCAAATGACTATTCAATCTTTTCTGTTTTTCGGAATTCCAATGATTCTCAGAAGTTATACCAGTGTCCAAAGCATAAAATACCAGGAAACCAAGAAAGTGTAGACGATGAAATAAACTTATACGAATCAGTTTATTTAATCAGTGACGATCTCATTTCTGATGTTAACTGCCATTAATAATCCACCAGTGGTGGGAATTCCTGATCCATGTCGATGAAACTTTAACAGCAAAATGATAAGGGTTAAGAAATAAGTAATCAGCTAACTTTCATTTCAACATATATCCTTATATAATTCTCTGTACAAAGTCGCTAAATGTCTGGGAGTAGTGCATAGTTGTATTTTAATTAGTTGAAATTCATGTTGTTTGGATAAATTTTATTTGTTATTGAAAGATAACTGTTCTGTATTTGAATTTTATCATAATGGAGACATTTTCAAGAATTGTTTTATAATATGAAATAAGAAAGTCACATCAGTTCTTTTGGTGCGACTCATGTTAGTTCCTCTGCAATAATAAATGGTCATACAATCAGTAACATACTGGTTTAGTGACCTAACGAGTTATATCTACTTAGCACAAAAGGTGTATAGCGTAATTTTATGCATTTTGTTCATAAAATTAACACTACTTATCTGGGACGCATTTTTTTTGTCCGTGACTACGTTCGTAGTCACTTCATTAGTCCTCGGTAAATTCTTCTTCTTCTTCTTCTTCCTAATTACTTGGAAACGTAAGCCTACAAATTAAACCCTGTTTTTAATACTCTTTTTAAAGAATAGATTTTCTAAACCAGTAGTTTTATTGGATGATAATGGATGAAAAATGTTTTGGTAATTATTAAAGTGACCTTTGACAGGATAGTGGTATTATCTGAAGTCTTGAAAATTAGTTTAACATCTAAAACTACTGAATGTTTATAAGTAGTTTAAAAAAACACACAAAAATTAATGTTATGGATTCAATGAAGATTGGATAGTCCAGAAGAGACTTAATACTTTATTGTTTCTTTTCTATTATTCGTACTCTGTGATCATGAAGTTGCCACTATTAAAATTCAAAACATGATAATTTATATATAAATTCATTTTTTTCAAAGCCTTAATACATCTCCTAAATCAGAAGAAAGTGAAAATCATAAAGTCCAAATGAACTCTGATCAAAATTCCAATCAGTTAGCAAATGTTATGGATCCCACAAGAGATGAAGTCGGAGTAATCTGTGACCATAAAATTGGTGATGACTTTGACAATGAGAATTCAAAAGAACAAGCACACACTACTATGACTACTACCGGAATTGGTAGTAGTCATAGTAGTCATGAAAGAAGTGAACAAAATGAGGAGAAGCAATATCCTATGTATGATAGCAATAATAATAGTAATAATAACATAAAGCAATCCAATTTAATTATGCCAAATAACATTGATCAAGATAATGAGGCGATTACGTGTTGTGTATGCAATTCACAGCATCAAATAGATGCTGAGGATGAAATTCTTCATATGACTGAATTATTATCGAAACGTCGTGAATCAGAAGCTAGACGTCAATTATTATTAGCTGAAATGGAGGTTGGAATAGAACGAGATGATCGTTTAAGAGCTGCTGCAAATGCCATGGCATTGGCAGTATCACCAATGACAAGTGATATTGCATGTAATATAGATAAATCAGAATTATCTAATGTATCAAATTGTATACACTATAATTATTGTGTACGTCATCATCATCATCATCATGATCATCAACAAGAAAATCATTCTAATAATGTTTATAATGTACAACAGCATATTGCATTAAATCCACCACATTTACATTCTATAGATCATAGAAATATGGATAATGAATTGATACCACCGATAACATGTTGTTGTACATCGGATTGTATTAGAGAAGAAGATAAATTGATTACATTACGAAAATGTAAGTCATATGGCATTTTCAGTCTCTCCGGTAATTAATATATTTATGTCAAGCTTTTTCCTTCTGCCTTCTCGAGGCGGGGGTGTTGTTTACGAAATTGAGAGGACGAAAAGCGAATGTCAGGAGCTTTAACCGGGTTGGTGGACAAGGCTAGTCCACCTAAAGGAGTTGGAAAACCCTCATTCCAAACCAATGGTGCACATGGGCTCCAGTATCCTGAGGGAAAAAATGGCGTACGAATCAATCGTTGATCACCGGCTACCATGAGACTGCATCTCCTCACGATGCTCCACTGCCTTGTGGATCAGATCTTTAGGTCAAAGGCTTCGGGTGTGGGCCCCAAAGTAAACCACCTGGGCAGTATCACAGCCCCCAAGCAAATCGAATGAGATTTGTATGGCACAAAAGTATCTCGTGCTTTTTTGTACCAATATTTATGTGTTTAAATAAAATAAAATAAAAATAAATTTTCCTGCTTGGTAAAAGAGTTGAATGTTATTTAACGGAATCACACAGACTTAATTTTAATGCACAGGATGGTTTTCTTTCAAAAACTTGTAAAATCCATAATATTTTCATAGTTGAAATCATGAGTCAATTGAAGCTAGACCACCATGAAAAACCTGGAAGCACTGGACGGTCGTTTCGTACATAATAATTTTTCCTAAAGATACTATCTTAGAACCATCATAATTTTAGCTTGGCTGTTAAAAGGTCGAATTTCGCAAGGAGTTAATGAGAGATACTTTATTCTGTGCTTGAGAAACCTTAACCCTCTTATGTGAATATAATAAGTAACTCTCTGTTTTCGATCATAGTTATCTTCGAAAGACTTTTGACTCCTAATGTCAACACCATTTTAGTAATACGGGGGTTCGAGAATATTTTTTTGGGATCAGTGGTGATAACTTAGTGAATGTCACCATATAGAAACATGTATTTTATTGGTTTGAACACATGTTTTAAGCGTCATCCTAATGGCTTCCAAATTCCTGATACTAAAATGAGGTGCAAGAATGGAGAGTTAGTAAGTTTACGATACGTTGCTGTGAAATGAAAACACGCCTTCTTAGTTAAGGTCCCAGTAATTTCTTTCTACATCCCACATAAAAGTGAATAGAACTCTTTTAATCAGATAAACATTTTTCTTAGATGCCTTAATAACTGACCTGTATTTCAGATTACACACTATTCTTATTTCCTTTATTTTTAAAAAAATTAAATCCCGGTCCTATCCCTTACTACTGTATAAATATTGTCTCTTCATTAGGTGTAGCGCATCGATAGGTATTAGGTTTTAGTCTCGGTGTATAAATTAAAACAGGAATTTATTGATGTCGAGATTTACATCAATCCAAATCCACATTCATGAGCAGATTACTTCGTACAAAAGTTTGGAAGAAACATTACTTCAGTTTAATCAGTACCCCCGTTTTTATAACAGTATTATCCTAATATCTAGAAACACAGACGAAATAACCGATACTAGATAATAGAAACACGTTTTGCTAATGAACGATAACTAGAAAGAAACCTAAGCAACGCTTAAATAAGCTTCTTGAATTTGTATAATCATCCTTCTATCATTATTTTTAGTTCAGTTATTACATATATCGAACCATGGGGGAACTATGTAGCACGGAAAATCTTTTTTTATAGTATAAGACTGTCTAATAGTGTGAAACCACCACTGTAACGAAGGGGATCGCACCCAGGGCCAATACGTAAACGCGCAAACCTAGACCAGTGACCCAGTATATTTCTAACTTCAATCAATTCAGGATAATGAGTGACCATCACTCATCGCCATCAAGAGGCATTTATCTCAAACTAGACATAGTTGAACTCCATTAATCATTACTTCTCACAAAGCATAGGGGAACTACCACTCGAAATTACCCTTCAACATGATTCTTATTAATAAAACAGGATTTCTGATTCTCATAGTTGAAAGCGTTAATCAATTCAAGCTAGACCATCATGGTGAACCTGGAAACACTGGACGGCCGTTTCGTCCTATTATGGGTTTCCTCAGCAGTGCGCATCCACGAATCCGCTCTCGCAAGTTTCGGCTCGAGACTGGCAGGTCCTGGGTTCGAAACTCTCGAGAGCGGGTTCGTGGATGCACACTGCTGAGTAGTCCCACAATTGGACGAAACGGCCGTCCAGTGTTTCCAGGTTTTCCATGGTGGTCTAGCTTCAATTGACTCACGCTTTCAACTATGAAAAATACTAAATCTCCACAAAACCCCTTCTGATTTTTATGATTTTCAACAATAATCCAAGTTTTCAATAATCCCTTTTACTAATGATATATATACTTCAACAACTTGTTCTTCTGTTGTATTTTTTTGCTTTCTTCTGCTTTCATTACATCACCACTGATCATCGCATACAGCTTCATCTGGTTTAGGATTTAGTTTAACAACAAAACTTATTCCTAAATCTATATCTAATACAACAATGAATGAATCATTATTTGCTGTATATGTGAAAAATATTTTACCTGATGGTTCAGCTATAAAAGATGGACAATTACGTGTTGGTGATCGACTTATACAAGTAAATATTTTATTGTAATATTATGATGTTATTTGTTTGATAAAATTAAAACAACAAAAAAACCAATTCACTTGGTATTGTTTGGATGAACCTTCTCATTGATGGTAAGCAAAGATGGATAGTGGCTAGCAGTGGAATCGAGGAAGAGCGCCACTTCGTCCTACTTGGGACTCGTCAGCTGGATGTACCTGCATCTCAAATTTGTTGATGTTCACTCTGGGACTCGAACCCGGTAACTTTCTCTTCAAATGTCATCGTGTTATCCACTTAGCCACTGAGTCCTGATAGCCAGTTGCTTGTGCAATTGGGTGAGGTTGAAATTTACTTAGTATTGTTTGTTTGGATCTTTCCATCGATGTTTTTAGGACTGCAATTGATCAGTCTCTTATTGGTATATGTGTATACTATGTACATTACCTCGATATAGCCTTAATTCACAGGCATCATAAGCAAAAATGGATAGTGACTGGGAGTGGTATCCAGGACGTGCGTTTCGTCCTATTTGGGACTCGTCAGCTAGATGTACTACCATCTCAGAGTTGATGTTCACTCTGAGTCTCGAACCCAGTACCTTTCGCTTCAAACGCCATCGCGTAATACACTTGGCTGAAAGTACTATATAAATACTAGTTACTTAATAATGATACTATAATAATACATAGAATAATAATCCATAAATTAATCCTGGAAGTTATCATTCCTTTAGTTTCTGTTTAGATATATTCAGTATTTAATTGATGGCTTTTTCGGATGTCTGATACTTTATTGATAATGTTCCTTCCTCACGATCTAGCTTTTTGTCTTTGTCTAAGTTAGCACCAATATTGTATGTAATCTATAAAAGCTCCTTTGTGCCTGTTTGAGTTTGTTTTATCTATTATTCAGATAGATATTAATAATTCAAACAGCATATAACAACTAATAAGATCAAGTCAATGGGAGATACAACCAAAATAAAGAAGTAAACAATGCTAGGTTGAAGGTCAACAAGAACCAATCAACATTGAGGTCTACAGAACAAAGAGTGAGTCATATGTGGAGAAATTCGAACACTTCACTTCCACCTGATGTTTGCGCTGATGATGTCGTTCAGAATAACGATGAAAGCTCTATGACCAAATCATCCAGCTCAGAGGACATTTACTTATACACACATTCATCTCCATTACGATATTGACTTATGTCAATAAATCTTAGAAATAACTATTTACAATACGTTGAGTGTGCCACTACTAAACTTCGTTATATGAAACACTTAATGGATAACGAGACATATTTCCATATGTAGCTACTTTCTGAAAACACTTCTGATAGTGTTAATTCGAAGTAAGGGTTATAAACTTTGATCTAAGGATTACTACATCTCAGTTTCACAGGAGATCAGTCACTATCTCAATAGCCCAGGAGTGAAATCTCTAAATGTGTAGCTGGTTGACAAAAAAAATCAAATCTCACAGATAGCACTGGCTCCAACAAGATTTTGTGTAGGCCTTATACACGACTACCGAAAAACACACAAAAATTATGTCTGGCTTTCTCTGTTGAACAGCTTCAACCATTATCTGACATCTTAAATTACATCGTCATTCTCTCTCAACCGAAATAAACAATTTTCTGCTAAGGTTTACTTTTTTTTGTTATCTTTACATTCGATAGATTGTTATTGTTAATTTTTACATACATATAACAGATTATCAGTGAGACTAAATCCTTTTATATATGTATATATTTGAGACTGAAAGAAACCTTTATGAAGAAACTTGCCAAAAACTAATATCTCTTCATTGTATATAGATGAAATCTTGAGTCAATTGAAGCTAGACCACCATAGAAAATCTGGAATTACTGAACGGCCGTTTTGTCTTATTGTGGAACTTATCAGCAGTGCACATCTACGATCCCACCTCATGATTTCAACTATATAAAATTACTAAAATCTCTACAAAACTGTTATATCCCCTGGTGAATTATGAATGGTAACTCTAAGGACTATTTATAGACCAATGTATTATACCTATTTCCTATTGTACAATTATTACGTAACTGAACTATTCATATTCGTATTTCTCTTATCATTAGCTTTATTTTGATCTTTGATTTATTATCATACGATTATTGAGTTATACTCAGTTTATTGATTACTTTGGTTTGTATAAGAACCCAGTATGTTTGTAAATAATGATTCATATTGCCGAGGCTGTTACTTGTGTTCTGGACTCAACTGGCTGGGCTAGGCAGAGTAGCAGGGCCGATACGCAATCAAGACTGCTCGTACGATTTCAAGTATCATTTGTGTCCGATCAATAAAATCCACTCCTCTCTAATTGCACGTTCATATATATTACGAGTCTATACGATATAACAAAAACCCCCTTCTAATAAAGTATAATTGTCCACTTACCTTATTCATATCTAATATAATTACATAATATGACCGTATATAGTTTACTGTTAATAATACAATTTAATGTTTTAGTGTTTTGTTCTTTGATTTAATTGTGTAGCTTTCAATGTTATTCTAGGCAAAACCTTGTTGAAGTTAGCCTTCCATTTGTTCCACAAATGTCATTTTAATTCGTTCGCTTGTGTTTGAATGTCTTTTTAATCATTTGTCATCTTCATTTGTTGTTGTATTCAGGTTGATTTTATTTGTTGATTAGCCTTCAGACTAATGACTAATAGATGTCTTGAATATGGGTTCAAACTTTGGGTTTATATAAATCTATCTGTTCATTGTTAATTGATCTGAATTTCATGAGTCTAGAAATTCTCTAGCATTTTTCGACTTTATTACAGAATTTCCAAGTTTCTTCAATCTAATTCATGTCCATACTTGTCTACGTCAGTGTTAGCAATATCATGTCGCTTCACTTTTAATTTATCTTTATTTCTATGAAGGTGAAAGAAACATCTACCTGATCCATTGAAAAATTTCTCATTTTTATGGATAATCATTCATTTGTATTCCTTCTTTGTCCTATCCACTTGTCTGCATAGAATTGAATAAAGTGGTTGTGTTGGCTTGTGACAGACGTTGACTCTAAAATGGCTTTAGAATCTTTCTAATACTTTCTGAATTATTTTTGCATATGTTTTAGTGAATTGGTTCTTCGTTTCTAGGGTTGTTTATTGACGATATATGATTTTACTAAACATTTTATGATAAAATCGTCGGGGTGGAAAGGGTCCTACATACTTACTAACTAACTTACTTACTTACTTACTTACGCCTGTTACTCCCAATGGAGCATAGGCCGCCGACCAGCATTCTCCAACCCAATCACTCCATCATAGGACTTCCTTTCTAGTTCTATCCAACTTTTGTTCATTTTTTGTCATATCTGTCTCCATTTCTCGGCGTAATGTGTTCTTTGGTCTTCCTCTTCTCGTTTGACCTTCAGGATTCCATGTGGGGGCTTGCCTTGTGACACAGTTGGGTGATATCTTCAATGTGTGTCCTTTCCACTCCCAGCGCTTTTTCCTGATTTCTTCCTCCGTTGTATGGAATATGGTTTGTTCTCTCCCACAGTAGCTTGTTTGCTGATAGTGCCTGGCTAACGGATCCGAATTATCTTGTGTAGACAACTGTTAATAAACACCTGTATCTTTTGGATGATAGCTTTCGTTGTTCTCTACGTCTCCGCCCCATGCAGTAGAACTGTCTTTACATTTGTATTGAAAACTCTGATCTTGGTGTTGATTGACAATTGTTATGAGTTCCAGATGTTCTTCAGTTTTAGACATGTTGCTCTTGCTTTGCCGATCATCTCCCTTACATCTGCATCAGATCCACCGTGTTTACCAATGATGCTGCCCAGACCTGTGAAGGTTTCCACATCGTCCTAAGCTTCTCCGTCAAGTGTAATTCGATTGGTGCATAATGTTTTGTATAGGAGAATCTTGCTTTGTGTATATTGAGAGCTACTGCTGTTGAGGCTGCTGCTACATTGGTCGCTAGATCATTTGCGAAGTCTAAATCGTCGAGTTTGAGGAGGGAGAAGGGTCATTCTTATGAAAAACAGACTAAAAATGAGTTCCTTTAATTTTTTATATTAAAACAAAATATCTATTCATTGCTTATAACATTTGTTTAAATTCAACTGTTTACTGTAGATTGATAATTTAGATGTTATTGGCAAGTCACAAGCTCAAATTGTAGCAATTCTACGAATTAAACCAGTTGGTAGTATTGTTAATCTATTAGTACGTCGTCCAGTACATATTTGTCAATTACATACGCAAGATTGTTTAACATGTCAATTATTGAATTCAACTATTACATCATCATCATCATCATCATCATCATCATCTACATATCAATCTCCTGATATATTGAATACAAAAAATTTAAAATGTTGTGATTTAGCATTACCTCATGGAAAATTACCTTCAAATTATTCTTGGATTGATACACGTAAATGTTCTTCACCACCATTACAAATGACATTATATTATGATGGATTAACAAATTTAGAACGTGTTTTTCATCCAAATTATCCAGTGAGTTGAATATTAATTTTTTTCTATCAGAAGGGAGTTTTGTGGAGGTTTTAGTAAATTTTATATAGTTGAAATCATGAGTCAATTGAAGCTAGACCACCATGGAAAACCTGGAAGCACTGGATGACCGTTTCGTCTTATTGTGGGACTCCAAAGCAGTGAACATCCACAATCCTACCTCGCGAGATTTCAACCGAGGACCTATCAGTGTCACGTGCGAGCGCTTATTTACTAGACCATTGAGCAGGCATCCAATGGTGTTAATGTCTAACTTCAACCAATCCACGCAATTGAGCAACTATTCTCCAATGTCTTCAGAGAGTTGATATCTCACAACAGATCTGATTAAACTCCATTGGTCACTGCTTCTCACTGGTACTCCAGGAAATATCTCTTGAAGTCAGTCACTAATGCGCATATGTTGATCAATATCAGAAGGGTCGAAGTGAAAAGTTAGCACCGTTGGATGCCTGCTCAGTGGTCTAGTAGTTAAGCGCTCGTACGCGACACTGATATGTCCTGGGTTGGAATCTCGAGAGACGGGATCGTGGATGCGCAAGCTGAGGAGTTCCACAATAAGACGAAACGGCCGTCCTGTGCTTCCAGGTTTTCCATGGCGGTTTAACTTCGACTAACTGATGGTTTCAACTTTATATAATTTTTTTGTTTGAATATAGAATATGAAACATTATTGATATGAATAATTTGTACTATAGTAAACAATTTTAAATACATTAAACATGGACTAGCGTTGTCCTTTGAATTATCCAGTATATATCCTGTTTTGTTGTGTTATATCACAGATCGACTTTATTTAGAAAATTAGTGTAAAACAAAAAGCATTGAGTTTTCAAGTCTCATTAGCCGGAGGCATAACCTCCTGAGTACTGAGTTGGTATCCAACAGTTACCACTTATAACCTTGGCATTGATACATATTTATAAGTTTAGTTAATTTGAGATATCCTGGATTCAAACTCTAGTGAGGTTGTGGATGAACACTTCTTTCGAGTCCCGAAATTCGATTTAGGATTCACATATTAATTACTTAAACAAAAAAGTTCTTTCAATGGATATAAATAAATAAATATAACTATGGTAAGCAAGCAGATGTAGATGAAGGGATTCATGAATTGATTAGACAACATGAAAAACAGGGTAATTGCTATTGTTGTTAGTTTAATAATTACCATAGTTTTTATGACAAAATGAATCGTAATAAGGTACCGGAAAAACGATATATTGTATGTTAGACTAAAATATAGAATAAGGATTATAATATATGAACAGAATCTAGCCAGCATCATTTTAACAACATAATCCACGATTAATATAGTGGTTACCGATTATCATAACTTAAATCACTAACTGATCTTGGCTAGATCAACACTGAAAACCAGTAAACACTAAATAATTGTTTAGTCGTAATTTGGGACTGGTTAACAGTAGTCACTCTTGCTTCCACCACCAAAGACTGAATTCAAGACGTTCGATTCAGTGCACGATTGCTTAACTTTTAGATCATTTTACTGTCATCCAGGATCTCACATATTTAACTTTTTCCAAATAACTATATCACACTACCATTTGGGATTATTTACGTTGGATAACAGTCTCATACCCTGTATGGTTGAACTCTATTAGTCACAATTGTATATTTATTGAGAAAACAAAGGGTGAATTATGTTTATTTCGTAAGATTGGTAATTAAATTTTTCACAAATATAACCAACTATAATATCCATATCATTCACTCTGAAGTACTTATCTCAGAATTAAAACAGTCATTCCCTTATTTATTATGACTGATTACCTATATTCATTATTGATTTCAATCATTATTTCTTTTTAGCTTTATCCAGATGTAATACTTCTTCATTTGCATATTCCACTTATTCCTATCCATGAAGAGAATATGAATAATCCTAAAAATTGTTTAAACAGTAGTAATAATACTACTAATAGTAATAGCCCACTAACAACAATAAGTTTACGTCAAATGCGTCTTGGTGTTAGTGTACGTGAATCGAACTCGTCACGAGCAAGTAAATTAAATGAATTATCACAGAATACAATAAAACTAAGAACAAATGAAGATAGAATGAATCAAATCTCATCATTCACTGATTCATATATTGCTGATTCTATATATGGTGGTGTAATAGTTAAATGTATCATAGAAGGTGGAGCAGCACATAAAGTAAGTATGATCTTTCAATTGTTTTTATAATTGGATTCTACTATTATTTGCATTACATACAAAAGTACTTCACTTATCTTGGAAGTCTGATCAGACCTAATGGGTTGGTGTCTGACGAAATCTCAGCACGGATTCAAAAAGCTCGTTTGGCTTTTGCCAAATTACGTCACCTATGGCGAAAGTGAGATATCAGTCTATCAATTAAGGGACGAGTATACTACGCAGCAGTTCGCTCTGTTCTACTTTACAGCTGTGAAACCTGGCAATTAAGAGTAGAAGATACTCGTAAGTTACTAGTATTTGACCACAGATGCCTTAGAAATATTGCTCGCATCTGCTGGGATAACCGGGTAAGTAATAGTGAGGTTAGACGCAGGGTATTAGGGAATGATGGTAAATCAGTTGATGAGGTGATGAGTCTTCATCGACTGATATGGTTGGGCCATCGTGTTACGTATGCCTGAACACCGATTACCACTAACTTCTTATCTGAAGCATGTTGGTAGATGCAGATTTCGTGGTTGGGGTCCGCGTGACTATCGTAACCAATGGTTGGAGACTCTAGGTGACATGGCTCAGAATCGATCACAATGGCGTAGGTTTATACACTCTTTTTCTTCCCTTAAACCTTGAGATTAAAATTTCTTCATAACTTTCTTCCTTCCTATACTATATCCTTATATACAACCTATAATTTATATAGTACCACCACCACTAAATTAACTACTTCTATGAATCCGGTGTTGATCTTGTTGTGCTAACGAAGTATGACAACTTGGACCGATGCATATATGTGCCTGGTCCTACGTTGTAGCTGACTAACTGACTGACTTGTATGAAATAATATCATGGAATGTATTATGCTGTGGTCTTATTGCATTACAGAGATGTGAAAGACTTGTGTTATTTGTGAGGATGTTAATGTTGATAAGCTCAAATCGATTTGACATTCTTTAGAATATATATATTTAAGGAAGTAGCTGTAACTATACGATGAGGGGAAGGTTATCACTACTCAACAATTCAATATGAAAGTTGATAGTCAGCTAACAAATGGTTAGTTCTGGGCTTTAAATTGTCTTTTTGTCTATGTAAATTTGTTCTTCTGAAAAGTGCGAAAAATTGAGGGACGACAGAAATAAATATTTTCTTGAAAAAACTTGAACCAGATTTCCAGGCGAAACGTTGGATTTATTTCAAATTCATCCGCTGAGATTATTCCTATTTAATGTCCAACATCAACTGGCCACTCAAATACTGTGAAACTATTCGCTCTAATTTGGATGAAAGTTCTTATAAAATTATTATTAATGTGAAAGTTCAGATTGAGTTAATTTAGATCCTTCTGTATGAAAAAGATAATCTATTTAGTGAGCATAGTTTATCATTGTATAAGAACGTTTAGACTGTACAGATTAGTTTATGGGTTTGAATGTTTTATAGAACTTCAGAGAGGCTAGTAGCTTATATAACTTACTTGGGTTTTGAATGAACAAATGATGTATTTGTATCATAAGTGTCTTGACTGAACCCTCCCAGCATTTCAGGATACGTTCAGGAGTCTCCTCCCCGACAATTTCCTGGGTAATCACGGCACACAGATCAATATATATTTACAGTTGAGTTAACCAGATATTATTTAACATTTTCTTACTAGTCCTTCATTTCCCAAAATGCAACACATTGCCCTTGGAGTCATCTATCTGTACTCTTTGTTTGCTTCCAACTATGGAGCTAATAATCCACCAAAGTAAGTTCCATCTGATTCTAATGTTCTGTCAATTAGGAAAACGTTATCGAAGCCTTTGTTAAAGGAAATGAAAATTGAATCTCCAGGTGGATTATGATCTCTCAAAACACAATTATAGTCTCATGCTACTTATTAGGTAGAGTTTGTCCTCAAAAGTAGACTTGTTTTGCATTACTTCTAAAATATATCATTAATACAATTCGGGAGTGTTCTTTTTCTTGACAAACAATAATACTAGAATACAGCTAACTCTTCCCATATTTGTAATTGTTTAAATTTTTTCACAATTGAATTCATTAATCGTTTCATGCTAGAGCACCATTGAAAAACTGAAAGCAGAGGACCACGAATTCGTCATAGTATGGGACTCCACAATATGCCAGTTCAGTGATCAGGAGATTAAGCGTCCGCGCACGTGACCGAAGGTTCTGGGCTCAAGTCCATTTTAGTGCAGGATTGTGGATGGGCACTACTGAGGAGTCCATACTAGGAAGAAACAGTGATCCACAGCTTCCAGGTTTTCAATTGTGATCTAACTTAGATGGATTCGTGAATCCAATTGTGAAAATACTACAATTTTCAAACTAATAAGTTTTTTACTTTTCTTGTTGACATATATGTTTAATTGATTAATTCTTGTTTTCACCAAATACTAACACAGGACGGTCGACTTCAAATTGGTGATGAATTGTTGGAGATTAATGGAGTTGTTTTAGTTAATGCAAATAATCCATTGAGTTTATTACGTTCTGTTCTACGGAAATTATCTAATACAACTGTAAATGACAATAAAAATTGTGATGATGATAATAATATGACTACAACTTCGACAAGTGTAACTGACAGAACAACCACAACAGCAGCAACTGCTTTTACTTCTACTGTTACTACTGATACTACTACTATTACCACTAGTACTACAACACCTTCACCTACTAAGACAAATGATCAGAATAAAAAATCCAAGTCTACAATTGATAAAGTAGATTCAATGGAAATGTTAGATATAATTCAACCTTTAGTGGTAGATCTATTGATAGCTCGATTAACAAGGCATCGAAGATCTGCATCTGGACATACTGTAAGTATTCACAATTCATTTCAATATGTATGTTTAGCATTTCCTGGTTAGCGTTCTTCTTATCAAGGTTGTTCTCTTGTGGACTGGGTTGCTGACCCCATGCTCGACCCTTACCCGGGCTTTGTACTCAGTAAAAATTACCAATGAGATGTATCTCACACTCTAGGTAGAATCATATTATGATTTAGTAATCTCATATTTGGCTATGAATTTTTGATGGTGACGAATTTCACTCAATCAACATACATTTGTAGTCAATTCCTCATAAGCTGAATATAATTTTTTTACACAACTAAAAAACGCTCTAATCAAGACTCTGTTGTAGCTCGTTGTACAGAAGCTACCAAAGTGTAGGTATAGTCCACTCAGCGTTTCTTCTTGATAAATATATCCTTCCAACCAACCATTACGCTTCATACCAACGTCTTGTTATAGTCAAACTCTGCTACTTAATTCATGATGAGTGTCTGTACACTTTATTCTAGTGTAATAATTTCTTTTCCAAGTAATAGGGGTTTGTGTGAATTGTCACATTACTGGTTGCCTCTTAGTTAGACAACTAAGAAGTACTGAAGATCACCCACCAATGGTATTGGAAGATGGTTATGTAACATCGTGAAATAAATGAACTCAGCTACGTACACCACTTGGTGCAATCTCTGTGAATTAATGGTGAACATTTTTCCCGAGAAATGAAGGCATCAAATTCGACGTATAACTATTAAGGAGTCTTCTACTAGATAGAATCAGCTTTTCATTGCTTAATCAGAAACAATTTTTTAAAGCAAACTATAAATATTTCCTTTCTGGCTATCTTACTTCTATTCTATTTATTTGTTTGTCTCAATAAACTATAGCTTGCATCGAATTCCGAGTTTAGTTCAGAAACTTCAACGTCAAGTACTGTGCTAACTACTACACCAAAGCTTTTACCCCCTGTCAATAATAAAACTAGTCGTGAATCATCATGTGCTAGTCAAAAACAATCCATCGACCATCATGGTAATCATCAACATCATCATCACCATAGGCATCACCGTAATTTGTCTCAACCACAACAAAAGTGTTACTGTTCAAATCCTTTGACAACTTTATCTTCATTGTCATCATCACCATCATCAATTACAACAAATCCAACTGAAAATGAATCGCATGTTACTACAATCAATAGTAACGACATACAAAATATGAATAATAATGATGATAAAAATAACGAAACACCAAGAATTAAATCAGAAATACATTCAGTCAAAGTGGAACAGGAAGATAATGCAATTGATGATGATATCATTACTACTAAAACTACTCTTGGAGGTGATTGTGCTCCCATGAAATGATTAATTCATATTTATACAGATTCCTATAAAGTAAGTAATTCTACATAAATGATGATAAATTACATTTTCCTATCATAAAGGTGATTGACAATGCTGTCGATACCTTTGATCATTCAATGACTGTTTAGTTGTGAATGATCTCATTCCACTAATTACCGACTACTTAGCAGTGGAAAATCTCTACAATATTATGACGACTTTTTGTTATGCATCTATTTCAACAGTAATCACTTGAAATTCATTGTTCCAGCCAAATACATATTTAATGAATGATTTCCATAGGGAACACCTGTCGATTCTTTAAAAAAGTAGAAAAAGTGGGAACTTACAAACTTCTCTAGTGTAATAATTTAAAGTTTTAAGTATTTAGGATCGTGAAATATGATAATGTTTTGATGAAGCCGTGTGATTATATTATGAAGTCTACCGTATCTGAGTGAAAAAAATGATTTTTTTAAAAAAGGAGATATGATTAGTCTAAAGAATTCGATCATAGTTATCTACTAAGTCTTGATCACATGTCATGGAACGACCGAATCAGTAATGCTGAGGTTAGGTATAGGGTATCACGCAAAGATAGGAATAAGTTGATGGGATTTTGAAACATTGATGTGTGTTAAGGAATATGTTACGCATGCTTAATCAAAAGTTAAGATAACTAATTATGTTTGCTAGTGTAGAAGTAGGTTAGAAGAAATTCGGGGTAGCCATACGAAAGAGTTGCATCAGCCTATAGAGTCAGTAACTATTGACCGCAACATATATATACATATATATATATATATATATATATATATATATATATATAGATGCAGGCTATCTAGTAATGGTTCGTGGATTAAGGGCGATCAGTGGTTAAAGACATTGATTTGTAAGAATTGTAATTAGTAATGTAGTGAACAAAACACTAGTTGGGGACAATCGAATGTATTTAAGCAAAGATTACAGACTATCTCAGTAAATTCTGATAACCAAACAATGAACAGTCAATTTGCAAATTAACAACCAATTGTTTCAATCTTCACTGTTTCTTCTCTTATTCTATTGCTCATGCATTTTCCAAACGATTGCGCTTCATTTCAGTTCTTTCGTCATCGGTCTTCTGCCAAAATACATTCTATGTCTGACCCATACCATATAATAATTATATAGATATAAGTAGACAACACCACAGTGACACTTATACTCCATCTTCATCTTCCTCTCGAACATTATTTCCAGTATTCCCATAAGTTTCTTTTCTGTCGTTATAGGCCATACCCTAAATCCTTTGTGTATTTCATGATACTCTCAACCACATTATGTCGATTTAATTCGCTACCCACCGTTTTAAAGACATCTTGTGCAAAATGTGTCATATCAACTCATTTGACCCATATTTTTCCCGGGATCCATTATGGTTAGTATTGGATAACTGACAGATTCTCTTAGTATACACAAAAAAAATATGTGACTCAGTAGTTTGAATTGTCTGTTAACATACGTGGCAACACGTATAGCTCATACATTTCTGGATGTTTATCGCTTAGTATTTCATATTACATAGAACAAAATGAAAATATTGACAGATATTAGTCGAAAGAATTATCAGTAGTATAATTTGTTAACACAAAGAATTTGCTAATCCAGGCAATATTGATTTCTTTGTTACATTATAAGACACCTTGGCTAACACTACGTTACTCACTTTACTAATGCATAAAAATTGTTTGTATAGTGTAAAAATAATGAGTTATTTGTTACAATCATCTTTAATAATTGTATATAGTTGGGATCATGAGTCGAATGAAGGTAAACCACCATGGAAAACCTGGAAACACTGGACGGCCGTTTCGTCCTATTGTGGGACTCTTCAGCAGTGCTCATCGACGATCCCGCCAAACGAGATTCGAACTTAAGATTCACCAGTCTCGAGTCAGAGCACTTAATCTCTAGAACACTGAGCCGGCATGCAACGGTGTTAATGTCTAACTTCAACCAATGCAAGAAATTGAGCGATCAACTTCCATTGTACTGAGATAGATACCTGTCTCTACCTGATATGGATTAACTCCACTGGTCACGACTTCTCACTAGAACTCCAGGTATTACCTCATGGAATCAATCACTAGTGAACATGTGATCATTATCAAAAGGTGATTTCGTGGAGATTTTAGTAATTTTATATAGCCGATAGTTAATAATTGTAATGAAATTAAGTGTTCTTGCTTTAGACCTTGGGTTTGAATCCCGCGAGCAAGATTGTGAATGTTCACTACTGAAGAGTCTCACAACAGAATGAAACGGCCATCCGGTAATTCAAGGTTTTCAATGGTGGTCTAACATTAATCAATTCATGATATCAATCAAAAAATTAATTATAGTCTCCACAATCTCAAACTGTTTAACAAAACTATTTGTTTCTTATTTATTGTTTATTTCTTTCAGATTATTAAAAAGACAATCAATGATAATTAGTTTTCTAATCATTATACTACTTATATGTATATTAAAGAATCAATCATTTTGTGAATTATTGAAAACTACCTCAATCTCATTACTAAATTAACATAAATTATGATTACATTATTATTATTATTACTAATACTAATACTACCATTATTCAGTAGTAGTTGTGTTTTTTTTTAAAAAAAAAATAATTTAGCTGAAATACAAAAAAAAAATCGCTCAAATTTTCATTTGTATACAACAATCATATGAATAATGATAATAATGTAATGTTACATTCCTTGTATTAACTCAATAAAAAAAACAACAACATTGTTCTAATTTACCATTAAACTATTAATTAAACTGTAGATAACGGTTAATACCTAAAGAATGAGGGGGAGAGACAATGAAATAGTGTGTGTGTGTGTGTGTGAGAGAGAGAGAAAGAGCGTTTAGTTTATTCCATTGTATAGAAACTAAAAATACATTTTTTTTTTAAAAAAAAATTATCCTAAATTATTTTCTTTTTTTTGTTTTTCTTTTTTGGTGAATGATTTATTTTTCAAGAAAACACAAAATGTTTAAAAAAAAGAAGAAAAAAAAAACCAAAGTTGTTGTGAATAATGTTTTTTTTTTGTATTTATTTATTGATTAATTAATTAGTTACTGTTCAATTACATTTCATCTTTTGTATTTATTCTCATATATTTAAAGTTTTATATTAGATATACTACTTATACTACTGAATAAACTGATTTTTATAATTTTTCCCTCTTTTTTTTTCTTTTTTCCTTTATATGAACATTTCAATACAGTCTTAATTGTTCTAACTGAAACAACTTATGATAATTTGTAAGTGGTAAATAGTAGTTGAGGCTTCTTTTTTCTTTTCTTTCCTTTATTTTTTGATTATTTTTTCTTGAATTATTATTATGTATAAAATGAATTGATTCTCTTCTTGATTTTATTGTTACTATCCACCCTATTTTGTTTTCTTCAAATCACTTCACATAAACATGATCTTTTTTTTTTTAAATTATGATTTCTTCATGTGAAAAGTGTATTGATTAGATGAGATGTAAACTTGTTTCTAGGAGAGAAAAAAAAATTAAGACAAAAACAATCTTGTGTTAAATTTTGTGTGTGTGTGTGTTTTTTTTTGTCTTTTTAAAAATCTATTCAAATCATTCAATTAATCTTTTTTGTGAATATGATTATGTTACTATGACAACGTTCATTAATATTACTTCATTTTTTTTCAAATAAACATGATAATTTTCAAAAACAGAAAAGATCACTATTTTTTTGGCACAAAAATCCTAACAGAATATACTTAATCATGTAGATAAATTGTACAGAATTAAATGATCATTGAATATCATTTATTCACCTCACTTAGTTATTTCATTTTTCATAGCCAAATCTATATATATATATATATAACACCCTATCACCACCACCACCATCATCATCACATTTTTAGTAATTACATCATTGAAATAATATTGTGTTACATAATACTGTTTATTACATAATAATGATATTTCAAGTAAGATCAATCGATTGTTTGTTTTTAATTTTCTCGTCTTTTTTTATACAATCATGATTTCCCCCCCTTCATTCATATTTATTATTTAATAGTTACCAATATGGATTAGTTTTATGAAAGGATCTTAATCAAAATTGGATAAGATTTATGTGAAATATAATATCTATTTTATATCCTTATCATTTCTATTCTAATATTGAAAACTTTTTGATCCCTCTTAATCACTCACTAACTCACGCAATCAATCAATCGATCGATCAATCAATCAGTCAATTAATTAATCAATCAATTAATCAATCAATCATTAATTCTTTATCTCTTTAATTTAATGTTGCCTTATTCATTTAAATCATAATTACATTAAAAATAATTTTATTATTTTCTTTAGAAATTCAATAATAATTAATTTTTTTTCTTTTTTTTTTAAATTCACTACTTACGACATTTACTTATGTAGAAAAGAAAAACCTCTTTTTAATGAAGAAAAACAGGACTGAAGTCTCCCTTTTTTCATTTTCTTCTTCTCCTTCTTCTTCTTCTCCTTCTTCTTCTCCTTCTTCTTGTTCTTCGTCACATTCAAATCTGAACAAAAAAGTTTCTTTTTTAAATCTCTTCTTTATTACCTTTACTTTCATTGGTTCAATTCATAGAACTATTTGATTAATCTTGTTCTTGTTCTTGTTCTTCTTCTCTTTATGATTTAGTTCACTTTTTGAAAATGTGTACACATTGTTCAATTATGTTTATATCATTCATTTAATAATTAATAAACACTAAGATTATTGAAAACAAAAAAAAAAGTTCATTACAAATCCAGATTATATAATTATAAAAAATATATATATATTATTGATTAATGATTGAGTTTTTTGTTGTTGTTGTTGTTGTTGCTTAGTATCATGGTGATAATTGTTTGTTTGTTTTATAGAAAAAATAATAACTTTTTGAGAAGAAAATATTAATTTTAATAGTTGAGATCATGAATCGATTGATGCTAGACCATCATGAAAAATCTGGAAGCATTGAACGACCATTTCGTCCTATTGTGAGACTCCTCAACAGGTCACATCTACTATCCTGCCTTGCGAGATTCGAACCCAGGACCTACTAGTCTTATACACAACCGTTTAACCACTAGACCAGTTAGCCGACATCTAGCGGTGTTAATGTATAGCTTCGACCGATCCACGTAATTGAACAACCGTCCACTATTATCTTTAGTGAATTATTATTTCACAACAGACCTGGTTGAACTCAACTGGTCACTACTTTTCACTAGAACTCCAGGAAATATCTCTTTGTATAATATCCACTAAAATCTCTTCTGATAATAAAAAAATATATAATTGAATTTATGAGTGAATTAAACACTTTGAAAAGTCTGAAAGTACTAGATTGACGTCATTTCCTATCATGGGATTCTTAGAGGTTAAGCATTCGCGTGACAGACTGAAGATCCTGGGTTCGAATCTTGCGGGGTGTGATCGTGGATGTAAACTACTAAAGAGTGTCAGTGCTTTCAGAATTTCTCATGATGGTCTATCTTTAATTGTTTCGTGAATTCAACAACTATGCATTTCTGTCAATTATAAATCTTATCGACTCAATCATGTATGCGAACTGTTGAAGCAAATGAAGCAGATAACCTGCCTCTGTCCCCTCCTCCCTTCCTCACAAAGTTATGAACAATATCCAAACTGTCAATAAGTTGTAATTTGAAACCATATTCTCTATCATTAGAATAATCTAATAAAATAACAATAATATACTTTCACTTAAAAAGAGATTAACTTCAGATAAAGGGAAAAGAAAATAAATAATTTTTCAATATTCTAGAATGAATTCTGATGTTATCAATGAGGTTGAAATTAATGTCAATACAGTTTAACTGAGAATTTAAAAATAAATAAAAAAGTTACGCTCTTAATTGAATAATGGACAAATCATTTAATCAACATCATGGTGGAGAAGATTTATAGCTCAGGTGGATGATTTTGATGTAGGTTTGTTCTCCGAGCTTGATGATTTGGTCGTGGAACTTTCATTGTCCTTCTGAACGGCATCATCAGCACAAACTTCCCAAATTTTGTGCTAATGATGACGTTTAAAAAAATGATAAAAAGCTCCATGACTAAATGATCCAGCTCAACGAACAAACCTACATCAAAAAAAAAGATCAACATCATAATGAATGAGTAACATTATGTTTACCATGAAATTGATTTTTTGAAAAAAATTTTTTATAAAGTTTATTGAGATTTTTAATTGATATCCCTCCCGCCTTATTTAATCTCATTAGGGTATTGTTAAAAAAAATAGGATACTAAATATTTTTTTCATTTTGATCATCTGTAGAATAAGATATCCCACCCCACACTCCTAAATCCCAGTAAATTTGGCTCAGAAATAACTTATACATATGGTTTGTGGTTAGTAAAGTAATTCAAAGAGTGCACTATGTCTCAATGGAGTTCAACCACGTCCGTTGTGAGATATCAACTCACTGAAGACAATTGGTGAATGGTTGCTCAATTTCGTGGATCAGTTGAAGTTAGACATTAACACCGTTGGATGCCAGCTCAGTAGTCTATCGGTTAAGGGCTTCGGCTCGAAACTGGTAGATCCTGAGTTCGAATCCCGCGAGAGTGGGTTCGTGGATGCGCACTGCTGAGGAGTCCCATAATAGGACGAAACGGCCGTCCAGTGCTTCCAGGTTTTCGATGGTGGTCTAGCTTCAATTGACTCATGATTTCAACTTTGAAAAATACTGAAATCTCCACAAATCCCCTTCTATGTGTATTTGTATCTCAGGGATTATATTTTGCACGTTGAGATTGGAACCTCCTTTTTTTATACTTTAAATGTTAACTGGTTAACCATTGAACTATTGAGCCTAAGTATTCACTAACGTGTTCAAAGAGTATGATATTTATATCGATACTAGTGTGATTTTTATTTATCCCTACATTCAACGACTTATTTGAAAATGTCCACATCGAGGGAATCTTCACTAACCTCAAGTATGACAACAAATATCTATCAAAATTTAGTATTCAATATTAAACGACGGGATAAAATAAAGCTTTGTTAAACTAATAATGCTGGTACTGCCGAGAGTGAGGAGAGTCCGCTGTCTCTCTCCAAATTCTCTCTCATGGCCAAGCGTATATACCCTCTAACAGGGGAGTCCTACTTATTGCCTTCTCGTGGCATTACTGTTGTTTACAAAATTGAGATGACGAAAAGTGAATGTCCGGCGCTTGAACGGTGTCCGTAAACACGGAAAGTCCACCTAGGAGAGTTGGAATACCCTTATTCCAAACCAATGATGCACATGGGCTTCAATATGCTTAGGGAACAAATGATGTATGAACAAATCGTTCATCGCCGACTATTATGGGACTGCATCTGCTACCATGCTCCTCTGCCTTGTGAATCAGACCTTTAGGTCAAAGGCTCCCTCAGAAAACCACTTGCTTCAGTTTGGGAACTCGAGCAGTATCACAGCTCTCACACAAATAAAATGAGATTTGTGTGGTGCATATATATCTGGTGCCCCTTTGTACCAATATTTATGCGTTTAAATAAATAAATACCCAGTGAACATAATAATGACTTTCTGAATTTAGAAGCTCAGTGGACAATACGTTTTAGTTTGAAACGAAATGTATTATGTTTGAAGCTAATGTATCTCACATCATCAAGCTCGACCAGAGATAACCTCTCTACCCAACTTCAAGATTCAAACTTTTTTTCACGTCTTTACTTACGCCTTTTAATTACTCTTGTGGAGGACCATAGGTCGCTCACCGGCATTTTCCATCAAACTCTTCCCCGGACATTCATTTACGGTTGTTATTCATCCTTTTCATGTCTGCTTCCAATTCTCTACGCAGTGTGTTCTTTTCTCTTTCTCATTTCAGTTTCTCTTCAACATCCCAAATTAGTGCCTAATTCATGATTCAGTGTGGTGATTTCTGTAACGTATGTCCTATACACCTCCACCATCTTTTCTTAATTTCGCCTTCATTTGGAAGCTGGTTTGTCTTCTTCCGAATTAGGTTATTACTCATGGCATTCGACCAACGGACATTCACTATCTCTCGTATACATCTGTTTTTTTAGATTGACCATTTTTGAGGAAATTTATCTGGGTTCAAATGTTAATTCTGTACTTCTCAATAGTAAATTTAAATTAGTAAAGCGATTTTTAAAGCCGAGCATAATACCAGTTGTTGTGGCTGTTCATTAACCCCTTTTTGATCCAGTAAAAATGGTTTGCGGGAATTATGTTCTGAGGAATTTCATGGAAGAAAGCCTTGTAATTAAATCTTATTCAAATTAATACTACGACTTTTTAAATAATATTTTGAATAGTTCTGTTTCGATTGTTTGAATCTGATTTGAATCAATATCAGTTTGTTGTAGTTACTTTCCCATCCGTACTTGTGCCATTTCACTTCGTATAAATATGCATCACTATGAGGATGGCCCAGGGGTGAACTGAAGACATTTTTAAGAAGATTTAAAAGAGATGAAGACATTCCACCTAATCGTTTTTTGGGAGAATATTCCAGAATCTCCACATGTAGCTTTCCTTTTGGACAAATTCTAAAAACCACCGTGTGAGGATTGGATGAGTATAATGATCATTTCGTTTTTACTGATAATTATAAATACCTGAAAGTTTTGTGCCATATTTAACACTGTTTAGAATAACATTCCTTCGCACTTCTCTTCTGTTTTCTCATTTACGACTTGGAGGGTTTTAGCGTTTGATTACCCAAGTAGTACGACGTATAATAAGAATCTAAGCTCTAGATACAATAATCAAATATGCTTAACACTAAAGGACTAAATATCTTTATGGATTATCGTTATTTGTATGTTTTATTAACAGCAGATAATTCTCATTTCGGGTACCACAGGAAGTACTACATGGATGTTTCATGACAATATGCGATTTTTCAGTTTAGCATACCAGAGGTCGAACACATAACAATCAGGTCTGTCTGTAAACTACTAACAACTATCAGTTTAACTTCAAATGATTTGCTTACACATTTAATCAAATCAAGAAATTGCTCAATGATCATCGTTCAAAGCATGAGTCAATTGAAGCTAGACCACCATGGAAAACCTGGAAGGACATCAATGATCATCGTTATTTATTTTTATTATGCTACTGGAATTTATCAAAGGGACTAATTATTTCACAATTCATTGATCACTGGGTGGTGATCAATGTCATGTGTGTCAAGTCCTTCTTAGTGCTGATCGAATGCTATCGATCAAATTGCAATATGGCCACTAGTCTAGGTGGCTCAACATTGCGTGCACTATGTTAAGATAAGATGGTGGTTGGAGATGGTCAACAGGAAACCCTGGACTGATTATTTCTAACATTGTTACTATTATTCAACATACATCTATCTACACAGATATTAACAAGCAGATAATACTAAACCCACATCAAATGCATTATTTCCTGTTTTTACATGTTTTATTCTGTCTCATCATTTCTTTTGTCTAATCATTATAACATTTCATGGTATATAGTGTTTGCTATTAGGATCAAACGAAGTGTAAAATTGAATTATGATTGTTTAGCTGAAAGACTTTCTTCGATTGTATCGATTATTATTTTGTGAATAGAAATGTTTAGAATGTTCATATCTACGTGTTGCCTTTTAGTTGAGAATACAGTGGTTTATATAAGCGATGATAGGTGGCCTGTTTAAATATCTGGGCTACCTGTTCCTGTCATCTAGATATTTCAACAAGTTATCTGATTTCCTTTGTTTTTATACATCACTATGCCTATTAATCACACAACCTATTCAGGTGCGTTTC